AATTACAAGTTATTAATCAGGGACCTTTGAACACACCTTCATACAGATTGCCAAGAGTGCGTCCCACTCTTTCGGAACTTCGTACGTGATTTCGTCGTACAAACAACTCAGCACTGATTACAAGCACGCATTCACTCAAGTTGTGCGTTGACTTCCAGTTCCTAGGTTCCATATAGGCATTAAACCGAAGTGACTTCACGTCACATCTGCGAACCGGATATTGGAACATTTCGCGTTATGTGACTTCCGTTGCCGGAAAACGCGCTTGGTCCAAGTGAAGAGAGCCTATGTGTTTCAGTGATGTAAACAATGTTAAAGCTCGCAAGCAATTTCTCAACAGCAGTGATTAACTATGAAGGTGCATACACGTCGTTTGTGTATAGGCCCCTCACGTTCTTCGCATCCTGTATAGAAATGTTTGCTCTCGTGTTTATGTGTACGCTTAAATGCAGTATGCCAGTTTCAAACGCCCGAAAATATTGAAGAAGGCCTACATAGATTAGTAAGAGTTATTCTGAAGGAGAGCAGGGGTGCATTAAAAAACGTATGAGTTTCAATCTGCAATTATGTTGACCTGAACAGGAATGTTCTGAGTTTCGAGAAGCTTCAAGTTGTGGGATGTGTCCTCTCCTGACATCACCCACGTCGTCAAGCCTTTTGAAATTACCTGGCAGTATAACCGCAGTGTCGCTGTCTTGTAAAATCCAGTGTATATGATTCTTGCGTCTTGGCGCTAAGGTGAAAAGAATACCTTCAGGCATCAGATTTGGACAATATGATACAATGCGGGCAAATACGATATTTTGATTCATTAGCTCGCAGTTCAGAGCTAATGATTTGCAAGATTTTGGCTTATTTAACGGCCTTGCTTAGGCAGACTTAAACGTTACACATCTTTTACATGACTTTGGGTTAGAATGCAGGCAGTTTTTTCAATTCAGGAATGAATAATTCACTATTCCCGAAACTTCCCAAAGATAAACCCGAACGTATGTGTTGAAACGTTCAATACTAAATCACTCTATGTAGTAACGATCAGACAGGAGCATTGATATCCAAGGCAAAGTAATTATGGCTATTGAATGATCTCAAATGGATGTAGTGAGGGGGCAAACTGGTCCAACCTTAAGACTTTGGAGATGTAGGTCCATGTTGGCAGTGTCCTTGACTCTCTCTGATGCAACTATCTGGATGTCATTAGCTTCTAATATCTCTCGGAAATCGCGCATTAGCTGCAATATCAATCACAAGTTGGCAAAAACCGCCAAAAATTATTAAAGAAAACTGTGTGTTTGAGGAATAAGGCACTTGCTGCACAGTCAAATGAAGTCATCCATAAACGTTGTTCGTTAATGTTTTGCCACAAAGAGTGAATTGCGAAATCGTTTCCTTTTTCAGTAACAAGTATAAAGCCCCTAATTCAGAACTTCACGCTACAAATTATATCGGGAAGATTATTTTGTTCGATGAATAATTACATAACTCCTTTCTTCATAAAAACAGTTTTGTATTAGTTGTAAATGTATTTTTCAAAAATTTTCCAAACGGGTAATAGAGAAAACGGTTCAAAAGGTTAGCTTTAAACTGCGATTGGTACTCTTATGCTAAGCAATTGGACCAAGAGAATCTCTTTGTATACAATCATCATGATAATAAACCTCCTATCCTTTAATTAGAAAAGGTGAGATTTGGCGTGTTCCGAAAGTGATGTTCAAGTAGTCTGTGTAGGGTAAGGGCACAAGAAAAAACTTCTGCATGGTCTTGCATTCTGAAAGACGATGCTTTCCTCGAAGATGAAGGCGACACGCCTCCATCCCATCTGTCTAAAGAAGGCCGCTCCGGCCAAAAGCTTGCCGTCGTCGGTGGGAAATGCTTGGACTGTGTAGGGATACACCGAACGGTCTGTCAGGCTTTCATGTGCTATCAGGCCAACCTACAAACAAACAAAGACAATCTATGTTAAACTGAACGCATCATTACGGCGTTTTTGTTTTAATGTACACACGCACCCGTGTGTATTTTCCTGCAACTGAGGACCCCCTATTGTTCCTCTTTTGTTTGTACTTCAACTTTTTTAGAAGACCACCCATATGTTTGTACACAGTTGTCAATCGGGGACCCTCTGTCAATCGGGGACCTTATTGTCCTCTATTGTTCAGGGTCTCCAGTTGAATGCAGAAACAAACTCGTACACCCATACACAAAGCAACTTGATTTGAAATGTACAAATTATTATTCCTCTTATTATTATTATTTATTTGTCCACTCAGCAATCAATTAGACAAAACATAACACTGGATGAACACACAGAATAACGTACAACAATTGGTCAAGATGTACGACAACAACCCTTTCAAAGCTGGCCGGCATGAACAAAAGCGTACTTCCCTCGGGCCTGCCCGAACTTTGAAGGGTTTAATTAAATAACAATAGAAAATAAACAAATTTAATAACAGATCTAAAAATTCAAATAAAATTACAAAAACAAACTTGCTAGAATAAAATTGCAAGAGACGCTTGACGTTTCTGAACAAATGAATTTGTTCACTGGCTAGGTGAACATTATGTGTAGGAAATACTATATTATTAAGAAACAATTGACATGTTTTACAAAGCGCATGTCTCCGTGCACTGTGCATGACGTGCGCATGTAATTTGGCTGTCAACGTCGTATGTAATTCAATACAGTTTGCAAAAAAACCCAGGGTGGATCGCAATAATATGTTAATGTCAAATGTTAACTAAATGTTAAAAATGCATTGTTAAGATTCTCTGTATTTATAAGGCTTTCGTAAAAAGGATGTTACCACTGTATCAATTAACAACGTGATGGCATAAATACTGCTCATATTGCTCAGGAATATTTAACCAATCAGAATTAATGATCTACCTGTAGGCCTAAGGTTTGAAACCTCACACTTGATCAAGTACGAATCTCCCATTTGTAGAATAGCATGTCTGGAGTACGCGTGTTTGTATAGGATTGTATTCACCTGGACAATGTTGTACCTCGCTGCCACCTGGTTGACTATGACAGCCTCGGTTAAATGGTGAGGTCCGCTAGCGATGACAATGGGAGATCCTTCATACACAAAAGTGTACAGGACCCGCAGTGCCTCTTCGGGATCTGCCGCCTGTTAAGAACAATTACGTTACAATTTCGGATGTGCATATAAGAGAACCTCACGTGCAAACCATTGTACTCTAGTTGAACCAGAGCCTACTCCGAAAGACCCATTTTAATAATAAAGTAAAATGACACATTTTCACTACAACCCTTCTGTTTCCGTAGAACTTTGACCTGGAAGTCTAGACCAGCTGAATCATCAGGAACATCATCAGCCCCAAAGTTACTCTGTCCAGAGTTTTCTTAATTGGAAGATAAAGTTTTTGAAAATGCTCTCCTGTACTGTTTTTTTTCTCAAGAAATCTTGCATTGTTTCTTTGCTTCTCTTGTATTACAACTTTCTGCACAGTTACCATTTTGGCAAACGAAAATTTTTGGAGAAGGTCTTGATAGACAAAGCTGGAGCCCATTTTGATTGTAGTAGGGGTGAATTGGCCCATAAACAGCGCACAGAAGATATCGTGCCGCAGATACTTCAGATTACGATTTCGCCATGGGAATTCACATACACAGCAGAACCTGCTCGTGTGGCATCCATTACGGGCTCAGTACTACAGCTCAACCCCGGTGTGCCTTAGGCCTATAGGGAGCCTACGTATAGCAGACAATGTTTATCGCAATCGTTCGGTAAAGTGATTTCAGTCGCTGTGGATTTGTTCCCTGCTACGGCCTATTCAAACTCGTGGCGGCCTGCCTCATGAAAGTGTCAGCATGCAGATTTTTTTGCCAACACGTCTAGCAAACAAAAAACAAACAAACAAACAAACAAATTAAAACTGACAACACAGAACTTCGTACATTTTCTTAAGTGCAGGACTAGGCCCTGTGTTCTATTCCATCCGCCACAGTACTTCACCTTTTGGGTAGTTCTCATTGGACGTCGAATCTCGAAATAAGAATTAAGTTTCCTATGTGTTTCCTTGAGCCAAGCACAACGGTTACCATGGTTCCCGCTGCTAAATAGGGAAGCCATTTTGATCTTCACTAATGTATCAGTAGCAGTCTGGTAATTGGGATGGTACCAGAGCGTCTTGGGTTCCATGTCTCACTTCCCTTTTTAAAAAGTAATTTGTATATTATCACAAATATTGAATTATTTATCAGCATTAATGACATTAGTTTGCGAGGACGTTTTACGTATTACTTTCATTTTAATTCTCAGGTTCCAAAGATAAAAACGTTACATCGTTTTCCGTTCAGTATGGCTGACTCGTGAATAAAGTCACTATAGACTGTGCATGACAAAAGTCTAAGCGCGAATTCCCAAAAGCCAGTCTGTCTAACTGTGTATGTAATTTTGCACTTTGTGATTTTTTTCACGACACGAGGTTGGCGAACAATTGCAAGTCGGCAAATTGACTCTGGCGCACCCCCCATGCCTTCGCTGCGCCCCTGCACTCAGTGGCCACTCTACACCCGTTCCCGCACGCTACACTTTTTCCTAAGAAAGCTTCGGACCGCTGCTTATGGACCGTTGTTCCTTCGTGATTTATATCCTGAACCTATTCTTTTTATTAAAGCACGCTGTCAATGTTCTCTAAAAGTGCACAAAAGATTTGGGAACCGGCGGGAATGTTCGGCATGCCTGATTGTTATGTTCAGTGGCGTTGCACAGTTTTGAAACAAGGATCGGTGTTTCTTAAGCAAACTTTGCTGTAATCAGAAACAAATCGTCAGGAGACTGAGAGATCTACCTCGCAAATGTTGTCGTAAGTCAATCCCGTGAAGATCGCGTTTCCTCAGCCGTTCCTCAGCAATAGCATTGAAATGGACATTTTAAAATGCATCCCTTAGTTAGAAGCACTCCTCAAGGTCTGATGTGCATTCAAAACAAGACATTATTTCAGTTCGAGACTTTTGGGAATTATTTAAGAGGATTACGAGCTCGTCTTGCCTGGGGAGAGAATCAGCAGACAATCCATGCAAGAATTATCTCCAGGTTGTCAGCCGTTCCTAGAGGGCAAGCTCTTCAAGTGGACAGTTCTTCAGAATAATGTCTGTGTGGTTGTCCTGTGCTGTCGGTCGTTTCCTGCCTTGACGTGTCACGTCCCTCGCATCTGTTTCTCTTCCCTTTTTGCATGGTAGAGTTTAGTACCCGTACATAGGCGAGTTTGGTGACCTCTTAGATAGACATCATGAGTGGCATTAGCCACGATTATGTGAAGATTTGACAGTGACAAACAAGGTCCTCCTTTCCAGTCGCAGTTTAAGGCGATGTGCGACCGTGAGTCTTCTTCGAGCGAGCATTGCAGGGAATTCTCCAGCTTTTGACTTGTGTAGCTGGCCTGTGCTCACAGAGCCTGAAAGTAAAACCCTTGCGCGGTCCGCCTAAACGGTGATTTTACACGGGGGCGTCCTATCACGTTCGATAGTTTTGGGAAGAAATTATTTTGATCAAAACCACCCAAACAACCACTCATTTTGGAATATTCCCTTTATCCTCCTCAATTAATTTTTGGGAAAATCACCTGCAGATGGGTAAAAGCGAAAAAAAAACCACGTTTGTTTTCATTCCCCATTCTTATGTGAGAACGAGATTGTACAACGTTGCAAAGATTAACCTACCTGCAGTCGATGGGTTCTAGATTCAGTCGAGTTGACCTGACACACTTCTTGTTAGCAAAGGTTAGGTTAAGCATTAGAACCTTTCGTGAAAGCTGATTATTGTTTTACGTTTATTTCCTTATAAACTGAAAAATCCTTAAAATATTGTGGTCTGTTATTATTTTGGCTTTTACCAAAAGACTAACATAAAGTGTAATTCCGTTCATGTTTATCTGCGTATGAAACCACCGCATTGGACTGCTCTATCTTCGTGTACTTTAGATTTTCGGAAGTGATTACGTCAGCTAATTTTTCAGTTTCCATTATTGATATGCTAGCAAATATTTTACAAAAGGTCTTTTTATGACTGAGTTGAGTTTTTAAGAAGCAGCTGAACGAAAAAAAATATATAAATTCTAAAATTTCGGCACGTTAGTTTTCCTATCAGAGGGTTCAGGAAGCGCGCCATCTGGGGTCAATTTTCAGGCTCTATTGTGATAGTACAATCACAATCGGTACAGAGGCCTGGTAAATCACACCTTCTTTATTCAAAGAAATGTATGTACTTAGAGCTCGCGCAGTTTCTCCTCAATCCGTGAACCTCGTGGTCGCCCAATGTATTATTGTAAATGTTTGCATCGTCGACAAAAGGGTGTCAACTTTTTCCCTTGATGAATTGCGGGAAAATAATCAAGATTGTAGGATGCTATACCTGAGGGGCCTTTTGTGCAAATCTTAGCCTGCAAACTATAGTATCAGAAAGGCACTTAGCCTATGAGCCAGCTTTTCCTCGATAAATGGGGCAAAGTGGTTATGAGCTTCGTTACACGTCTCCAAAGGTTAGAGGTTCGAATCCAGCAGCAATCATGTTTGTGTTGCTTGGCAGGGCAATTTGTTGGCATGTCTTCATCGGCAGGTCATATCTTGGCTGCCCAGGCTCTGTTAGTGTTAAAAACGATAAGTTGGTATGTAGACCTACCTCTCGAGGACCGACATACACGATGGTCATTTTGCTCCTGATTCTTTAAATGTACACAACTGAAAAGGACTGTCAAAATTGCACTGCTTGGTACCCCTCCATCCGTTCTGACTTTGTTGTCGCTCATGCCCAGGTAGACGTCCGACCAGGACGATCATTCGGGAAAAGAGACACATGTAATTTAGATGGAACTGAAACTCCAACATGCATCGTGGCCTTTGTTCGTGAAGTCGTAGTTTGGAAGCTAAAAAATAAAGCCTCGAGAGACCCATTATTCTGTAGAACAAAACTGTGGTTGAAGAGATGGACCAACTGAACACCCAGTGCATAAAGTGACTTTGTCTATTATATCTCTCGGGGACAGGAGAGGACCTCAAGACACTCATTAGTTCTGGTACAAAAAACAGCGATAAGATGGGGACTGAAACTCCGTGCCTTGTGGTGGTGTATTATTAAAAAAAATCAACGTGCGTGTCAAAACTTCACTGGAAGGTCATTTTTGTCAGCTGCCCTGTTTCTTTTTTCCTAGTTGTTATTAGAAACTAGAGAAAAGTTTTCAATAGCATCATACAAGGAAGACAGGGGAATAGGGACAGAAAATGTAATCCCCACAAGTGGCTATTCCGTGCCAAGCGAGATCAGCAGGGGAGGCAGTTTCCTATTTCTACGATTTAATTGCTGGGCAAGGACCCCAGGGAACAAGGAGCGTGCCGAAACGCGCCGTCAGATAGAATCCGATGTGATGAACATTCAGACAGTTTGCATTCATGGCTACCCTTTCACCTTTTTTTTTCAATTCAAGGACTTCTGTGCTCTCAGTTTTCTTTGTCTTTTCCACGCGGGTGTACATGACACTAAATTACGGCACGTGAAAATGTCCAACGAAAACCCGTGTCCTCTAACCTGAAGAAGCAGCCTAACGGCGCACCAATCAAGTTGTGCATGTCCTCCACCAAGGTTAAAAAGTACCCAATAAATTTAAAAATCTGGCAGGTGATTTTGATTTTTTGGATGGTACATTAACATTTTGGCATGTTTCATCATGCAGAACAATATCTAGATGAAAAACACTGTCCATGAACGTGTCAAATTGCTTTCATTTTTTATTAAAAGAAGAGGAAAGATGCTTCGAAGTGACAAGGCCTCAACTTGAAAAAAGATAAGGAGGTAGTATTTGAGTGGTTTCCAAACCCTGTGCTGTAAGGGTTTGACCTACACACGCCCCTTTCCATTGTTTTCCTTTGAACGGTCCGTCTTGATTCCGTATCATGTTCATTTGAGGTATGATGAAGATTCTGAATTTTTGCTTCAATTCAGACCATCCACGTGAATCATAGACGCCTGTGACATACCCGAATTATCACGATAGTACTCATGCGCAACAGAGAGGGGTTTTCAATGGCTCGAACGTTTCCATGCACCTTTTTACAACTTTTTACAAAGAAGTCCGCAGCTTAAGGTATTAGCCTTTGAATGTTTGGATACGCATTGGGGAAATCGCTCGGTTTTTTTTAACAAGCAAAGCAAGTTCCACTGAAATCAATAATTGGATCTCACCTTCTATTAATTCTTGAATGTCGTAATGGAACTCGCATGGACTCTAAATGCATTTCCGTCCAATGAAATTTCCAAGCGATTTTCTAGTAGGCAATTATGGCGATACGCATTCTCTACGAAAGCCCTGTAGTGCCATGAAGTATATAGTTTCAAAAAGTGAGGTATATTTTGTTGAAAGTTCGTTTCTGTGAGGTGTATTTTTCAGGGTTTTTTAACGATGTATTTTTCTAAAGTTTGGTTGTTGGAGACACATTCATTCTTATGAGATCTATATTCAGTAACAATGTTTATATTTTCGGAAACAAATAAGTTTTACGAGATTATTTTTCCAAGTTGGTTTTTAGGAGCTCATTCGTTTTATGAGTTGTATTTTTGTACGTTGCTTTTAAGAAAAATGAATTCAAACCGGAAATACTTCCTGAAAATTTAACTCAGAAAATATCTCATATAAAAACAAACCCTTCATCCACAATATATTTCACAAAATATTCACTTTCGAAAATAATAGTATACTTTATGGCACTCCAAGGCTTTCGTAATTATCCCACTCTGACAGGCCGTACGTATAAACGCGGGAGGTTTCTCCCTTTTGAAGTTACCTAATGTTGACTTCAATCCGAAAGTGAACGAACGTCCCACGGGTTCTGAAGATGTAGCTATAGTGAGTGTGTAGCAGGTTGTATGCATGACACCCACTTCAATCATATAAGGGCCACTAAATCAGCTTATTCATGCACGGTCGTTGTGACCTTGAGTACTTTTATCACCTTACCTCGCACCTTCAAATTGATTTTTTGCACCATGTCGACGTTACCAATTTCTTACCAAAATCAAGAAAGTTTACAGAAAAAAGAACCCGTTAACATCCAAATCCACTACTATACTCTGCTCGCTTTTTATATTGAAAAACCATCAAGTCATAATCACTAAAAACAGTTGCTGAAACTTCAATAAATCTGAAAGTAAAGTTTGACAAATCTTGTTCAGTTTTCTCTATTGCTTTGCTTCTCATGCTGATAAATGGTCAGTTCTTGTTGATGGCACAGCCTAAACGTGGGTTTTATGTTTGCATTTCTGCAGAAATCATCACTAATGCGGGACATTTCGCTTTGGTAATGCTTATTATGTGTGTACATGTAATTATTACTTAATTTGCAGCAACACTTTGTCAGTCGTTTTATCCTCTGTGTCGTTGTTTGTTTAAGTTTTGTTTTGTCTGTTTGCATCCCATGCGAGGCACCTGTTACCTGTATACTTATTTCTTGCTTTCAACTTTATTGAGCTCTCTGCACGCCTTTTTTAAGAAGATGCTTCACGACACCAACCAAAGCTTGCAGAGACAATCTAACTTCAGAAACTCATCTGCTCACATTGTTTATTCCGTTGTCCCAACCAAATGAATCCCTAAAGTTGGTCACATTTGCCTCGAATTATCCAACCCCTAAAGTAGTATCACGATACAAATTTCGTAGAATACATTGCCAAACCTTTCACCAACTTTGCTGTTTACAAATTATCAACTCTTTCACCCTTAGAGGAACTGGGGCAGAATTTGCCCCAGGTGTGAGATAAGCCAAAATACCCTGGCTCTTTAATTAAGGTTAATCAGGAATTAATTTGCAGGAAAAGACGGAATCATTGTTACCCAATTTATACATTGAAACAGTCTACGGTACGATATCCCACCAAGCAAGGAAATGAATCGATTTGTTTTAACTCAAGTAAAGTAACAGTTAATAAAATTTTTACCGAAATTAGAGTTGACTTTTCCCCATTAGTAAAACTTACCCCTGTCCAGTTCCATCTCATTTCCAAGTGGTAGTCGTCAAGAATTCCATCCAAGCTGTTGACGTGGTCGACAGCGGTTTGCGCTACGGATTGCAGTGCGCCCAAGAGCGGGCTGTCCGGGAAAGCAAAGAAGCCTCCCATGTAGAGGACGGGCTTGGTACCGTCGCTCGTGACGTTTTGCCTGCTGTGTGATGCCGTGGATGCCGGCACGCACACCAGGAGCGCAGTGAGGAGAAGAGGGGAAACTGCCTTGTGCCACCTTGCAGCCATTGTTTTGGTGGGATTTCATGCGCGTAAAAGAGCGGATCGCACGACTTTAGGTAGTTTTGCGCTGTACCGAAGCTTTTATTGTTTTAAATTTGACACGTGGTAGGCTTTTTGGCATATAATTATCAAGCCTTTTGCATAAATTGTATTATCATCTCAGTTACGATTGGAAAGTGGTGATGACTGTTATCATGAGAACCAGCCAGTAAAGATAAAGAGGTGATTTGGAATGTTCTACTGTATTAACAGGTACCAGTCGGCGTAATGTTACCATTTTGTTTCGTATTTCTAGTTCGTCTTTGGCTATATTTTGTCTATAACCAAAGGGATTGATAGAACACATTTCATATGATTGTATCTCAGATTTGTAATCTTGGTTATTTTTGTTTTAGAACAAGTCCAAGGCCTCGCGTGGTGAAAGCAGAGGAAACTTTTCATGTAATTTATCGATGTGGAAATCAAAGCGTTAGCAGATAAGCAGTGCAGATTTGGAGTAGGAACATTATTGGTTCTGCTAGCAATGACGCGTGCGCTCATGAATCGCGATTGCAAACTGCACTGATGGATCACCGTCAACATCTGCGTCACTGGCGCGCTCTTCCCAACCACATTGGAGAGTTAAGGGCGTATCCTAAACCAATTTTCTTGGGCGGGGAGTGTTACCCTTTATTAACTTTTGAAGGTCAACAATACGTGATGGAAGAAAGGGAAATAGAAAAACATAGCCTTTCACCAGTTAAAAAAGTGCTGTTTTACCTTTTTGGGGAGACATGACCCCTGTAACTCAGATCCTTGGACAGAGTTATTTCACTTTCAGCGAGAGAGACACATTCTCGCGTATCTTTTAAGAATGACACAACGGTCTTTTTGAGCAAAAAAAGAACCACTCTAAGTTGAGATTTAAATGCTGCTTAGAAGACTTACTCTTGGAACTGAAAAAAAATCGATCTGGTCCAATAAATTTAGCTTGGCTACTATGCACTGCTTTGTGCAAAGTGTGTAATATTAGTTTGTAGGGTATTTGGATGTGCCAACACAGGTTAGCAATAACTACTTTGTCGAGTTTAAATTGTTCAAACTGGCTATGCAAGCTCTAAGTCCTTTGTTCAGTCGCTCTTTAAAGATTCAACATTGTATTCTTAAAATTTCGGGAAAACAGCTAACATAACGATTGTTACAAGTTGACCCAGGTAGTAAGCTGTTTGCTTCTGTATATATATAATATTCAACCGTACAAACAAACTTGATATAGGCCTACAGCGGTTCTTTTTGTGTTGTGGAAATTACAGACGAGGGCTTGCCTGATGGTTCCACCTCCTTGGTGATTCTGTTGTGAACGACTCTCTCCATTACACAGGCCAACTACGGATCAAGCGGATGTCAAGTCACAAGCTGTTCAAGTGAACCGAGATGTTTTTATCATTTTTCATTTGCTATGCACCTGTGACCAAACTGATAATTTGACACTAACTCGGTGAGTAGCTCAACAGCCTTCTGCTGATTGGTTTCAAAATTTACGGTTACAGTAAAGTAATTTGAACATGATGTGAATTTTACAAAATGTGAGGTCATATTACCCTTTGCAACTTCAACCCTAAAGGCATGAAGCATGCCCCATTTTCTGTTGTCTTATCATACAAACTGCAGCAGGGAATTATCCAATATAATTTATATAAGGACACTTTGTCGATTGCTCTTGTTGGATCGGGCTTGGAGTGTGTTACCGACACAGGATGTCTATAAAGATGTGACATTTTAGCAACATAAGCGCTACACGAAGAGCAGAGGAATTTCTTTCAAGCAGAATCAAGTAAATTTCACTCTAATTGCCAAAACTATAGGGACGAGACGATTAAGACGTACTTACACCTGGTAACGCTGCGTCTACGGGCTCCACAAGAATATTCACGTTTCACGAATGACAAATGTGTTTGCCTCACTACATACTGCATTTATTTTCGCGTCCCCTTTTTTTTTTCTTTTTGAATCAGCTTTTCTATGACAGGTGCGATTTTTAAAAATCGTGTTTGCTTTGATGTTTTTGTAAGAAAGTCTTCTTTGCTGAATACCCCACATGATATGGAGTAAAGTCTCCTACAGTTTACCTTTGTTCGTGGTAACTTTAAACGTGAGCGTATAATAACAGAATGGGGTTAGGTATGAACGATAATCCAATGAAATAAATTGTGGGAAAAAAACTATTTGAACTTTTGCCGGTAGTATGGCAGCTGATTGCAAGGAGGAAGGGTCCACAGAGAGAAAGTGACAGAGAAGAATATTGGATTGATGTGCTGACAATAACTGCAAAGCAAATTAAGGTTACAAAACAATAATCACAAGAAGTGACAATTTTTCGGCGCTGTAGTTGACGATGGACTCTTCTGAGATCCAATTTGAATTGACGCAACAGCACCTGGGTCCCCGCCGAAGTCTGATCAGTCTACACGCATGCGACAATTGCCGTCTATGCATCTGAAGCTGCTGACGTGGTGTAAGCGTATACGAGATCAATTACCTGAAAGCAGTACGTTACGTTCCGGTGTTAATCTAGGTGGGGGACATTCACCTCTTGCATATCACTTACATGTATGCAGTTATTTTTCCTTCAGAAGCAGTTTTAAGCAGTATGGCCTCATTCGTATTGGAGAAAAAACGACACTGGCAGAATGACGAAACAGTTTTCACGGGTTTTGATTCAGGCTCGACGTACGGTAACATGACTTTGATACATTTTGGCATCACCACAGAACTGGCCATAGGTCGAAAAGAAAGTTTGTCGGTTTAAACAAAAGAGAATGAAATTCCACTGAAACTCTTTCTGACAAGTTATAACTGTCTCAAGTTTACATTTTTCAACATGTTGAAAAAGTGAAATGGGTATTCTGAGAAGTATATGTGAACTTGCAAACCTGAAAAGAAAGATTCCATTTCCTCTTAAAAACATCTTTTCTACTCGTTTTTAACTATGTACTTTAGAGAAGTGGCGGTTACAAATATCCAAATATATAATTGTCCACATTTCTCCACTCCAGCGTGTGCCAGGGTATGTTACATTTTACCTAAACACTTCACAAATGTGTAATACTACGTATAAATCATTGTACAAATACAATTAAACGCGCATGAGTATTAAGGACAGAGCAACAGCATATCAAGAATGCATCGGAAAATTAATTAAACCTTTTTCCTCCAGAAAAAAAGTCAGTTTGAAAAGATTCGCCGATTATGGGAGCAATAAAGATAGAGGGACAAGGGGGAAATATACTGGTTTGTTTCTTCCATGCAAATCTAGGCAGTCTGTCTCTCTAAATATAAAAACTTTTTTATGAATAAAGACACTTTCTTAATATTTTGAGAAATACAACTGAGATAGAATGCCTGTACGAAAGGATCCACATCTAGCATGATTCGGGGAAAAAAGAATTCGAAACACCAGTTGAGAAAAATATCTCGGCACTGAATAGGATGAATATAAGAGAAAGGAATGGGGCACCGTTGAGCGGTTACTGAAGAGTATAGTTGAGAGTATACATGGGTTAACTATACACGTGTAACGATCAATCGTGTTTCATTTATTTAACTTAAGAAAGGTATGTCGATATTTGTCGGGAAAGGCCCTTAACGGGTGTTGTATTCACGTTTAGCTTCCGTACGCATCGAGGCTGATACTAAAATTATGAAACATAACTTGCCAGAAAAATGCTTCTGGGGACACGTGTGCTTTAAAGCACACCTGTTCGTTAAATCTCCAAATATAGAAACTACTTTTAAACGTAATTATGACGTTTTTGTAAAGTCCCTGCTCTGCCCTTTCAACATTCGCTGTTGAATAATTTCAAGCTGTTTGTACGTCGTTTGTTGCCATTAATTTGACAGATGTTCACAGCAGTTCCCTTCACTGCTTCCATTTGGTGCTTACATTATGACACTGGTGTGTGCAGCGTTAGGCCAAAACCGATACAAAGTTTCTTACAATCTTCCAAACTTCATTTCTGGTCAGTGTCCCGTTGAGATTTCAATGCAGAAGTGAACGTCAGTTCAGTGGCGGTAATTCTCCTACCACCTGCTTAATAGAGGGCGGTATATTTGACTGACATGAAAGGTATTTATGGTGAAAGTAATTATGGAGAAGGGTACGTGCGTATAATTAAGAGGAATAATCTGATAACACAGAAATAATAATCTCTCTAAATTCCAAAGATTGAAAACTCAAGCTTTTCGAATGAAAATTCACTCCTACAGTCGGAAACTGGGGACCAGACGTTTTAGAGTGAAATATCTTCAATCAAAACGATCGAGTTTTCACTCGAGCTCCGACGGAAGTGATTATTGTGTCAGAGTATTTAAATTTAAATTGAGAGTGATTTTCAGAGTGTTTTGTCCCTAGTTTCACTCGTTCAGATTTAGAGAGTACCGACACATCCATTGTGACATGGACTGGATGCTCGGGCAAGCTTCAAAGAACGGTGTTTGAGACGCGAAAAGTGGAAAGTTACAACAGAAATCGTGAAGTGCCGCCATATTATGATAAAGAAAACGATAAAATTTCGATGGTAAATTTTTAAATGTGAAAAGTAAAAAATTAGAATAAAAAGAAAATAAACAAGAAAGAAAAGCAAACTTACCCAACCCAACACATAGAAAAAAATAAAATTGGAATTGTCCTTTTCCTTTCAAAGTATTATCATCAGCCTCGAATTTTCATGGTGACCTCAGCGTGAGACATAAGGCCGGTTCTATACTCAGTATATGGAGGCGAACGCTAGTGAACTCCTTCCGTCGGATCAAACAGTCATGATTTCACTTTTCGGGATATGTATTGCAAAGTGAAATTTGGGCCCATTTTTCGTTTCCGAACCGATCTTTCAACCTGCGACGCGATGGCGGCACTATGAAGCTAAAGAGCGCCCTCATATGAAATGAGCGCGGCATAGCTTCTCACATTTTCTTTCTTTTGAGTTTTTAGTCGACTAAGTGTAAGAGCAGAGTAACTTCTGCAGGAAAAAGCATTCAAACCACAAAATTTAGTGACACAAAATTTAGCTCACTGAAATATTTTAAACATTCAGGTGACTAAAAAACAGGTGGACGGGTATCATCAGCTTAAAAGTGAAATTTCGAATTTTAACGGCCCTGTTTATATCCCTGTTGGATGTTGTAGGTACGAAGCTAGTATGAAATATTTCCTTGGATTCAATGGCAATACAATAGAGCAGTTTTAATGACCGGAACCCACTGTGGGGTGAGAACGCCGCTCAAGCGTAAACAGCCCGGCGGTCAAACCTTCAGTTCGATCTCATTTGAATTTGAATGGGCGCTGTTTGCTGTTTTGGTTGAGTGAATCGGTGGCATGGTTATATGACGCTCAAGCAACGCACAGGGCTTGCCAGCTTAGCATTACATTGTGGTCGCTTTTGTATTTTCCAACCGTTTGTATGATCGCACAGATCCCAATTTTTGAGGCCGGCGGAGCGACAACAGACTTTTCACATTGAAGGTGCACTTGGCCATTGCGGAAGTAATGCATGTAGTGGATTAAGAACACGAGAATATCGGCAGAAGTTAACACCATACGTGCAGTTGACAGCGGACGTGTAAGCATGGTCTCTTCCCATCAGTGAAAGTATCATAGTTGACGCTGTCCTTGCGGCACCAGACGATTGTTGATTTTTTTTAAATGTCCATGGAAATGTAACAAGTATTAAACGCTGGTGGAGAGCAACTTCAGCGGAGAAAATAAGACAGAGTGACAGAGGGGAGAACCGGATAGATCCGATAGAAAGCTGAGTACATACAGGTCAACATCCTTGCCGTATTACAGAGTCGCTTGTTCATCGAGAATGGATACATCAGTGAGAGTGCTTGGAACAATACTTGGTTTAATTTCACTGGCTTCAGTTGTCCGGACCCAAGGTGAGATATTCTATGTATACTGCTATATTGACTCCCCCCCCAAAAAAAACTAATCAGAATACGGGTTCTTGGAAAACTATTGAGTCGTAATAAATTTACATACATTTTGATCGTAAAAATAAAAATGATGGTGTTTGGTAAAATATAAAGAAAGCAGTATGCATGTCTGTGTTATGTATATTTTGGAATTCATACGAGCGAAAAAGGGTCATTGTGTTTCTGTAATGTTTTCATCTTTTAATATTTTACCTTGTGTTAAACGCCTTTCACTTTTAAGTAGTTTCCAAAGCTGCATGTGCATACAATGACGTGTTTAAGCTGATGTTTTCCACTTCAGCGGTAGGCCTCAATGTTTCATAATCTCCGATTGGACGATGTTTTTATCTCACTGATTTGCTGATCTGTGAAAATTTGGTTATTTACAGAGATGCAATTTCAAATTCTAGTGACATGTAGAATAATTAAGTGTAAAATTTAGTGTAAAAATAATGAAATATGACAAATTTTGATATTTTAAAATGTATTTTTCTGGACGTTTTATTTGTATATAGATTCATGTTGAAATTATGATGTTACTGTTCAACTTCACACGTTAGTTCGTCGTTCAATGTCTGAACAATTTTGCTCAAATTCGTCTCCTGCGCAGAAACAAAATTTGGTTGGGTCAGCCATTAGCATTTATCAAATGTTTGTTTAAAATGAATCGGAAATTAATTTAAACCCGCATATTGGTTTCGCATATCCTAAATGTGGATTGCTGCAGTTGTCATGTACATTAAAGATTGAAGCTAAACCCAGACAATTTTTCAGTGGTTGGGCATAAGAATTTGCTAGATTTAGAGAGTATAAGGTGTAAAATTTATAATCAGTCAGGTAAATACTAAACTAGTATGGAAGCCTTCGCATAAAAATGAACTTGATTTGATTTGAGGTGAACTTGGTATTTCTGTAAGCTTTCCGCAAATTCGTCAGAAAGAAAATGGCGTCACTGTATAGTCTGACAAGATAGATATGGACCTACAACAAAGCTGAAAAGGCATGAAAAAAAAAGAATAAAGATGCAATGTAATGTAGGCTAAATGCAGTAGTCTTGAAAGCCAACCTCGAAACCCAATACCATGTACACGTACAAAGGGTGAAAGCTGCGGGCTGTCTACCTCTAGGCAGTCTTTCGCGGCTCAACCAACAAAAGGGAACCATAGGTGCGCCCAAAGAGTGGGGTCTAGTTCACGGCTGACTAATCTTTTCACACACGAGGAAAAAAATTTACACCCCCTCTCTTTCGAAATAACTAAAACTGCCCCGTCACAAGCCAACACGTGAAATTAATGCCACTTGTATACAAGTAATTTTAACCACTTAAGTTTAAACAGGGCACCTGAATAACAACCTTGTTTAATTCATATATTATCTTAATATTGCTCCGACAGTTTAAACATCTGAACAAATTTGTTGCACAAAAATCTGACCATGGTATTGCTCGTGTGCCCTGCTCAAACAGCGGTGGTTTAAGTCGTTTTTAACAATGTGTGACGGAGAGACCATTGACAAAACTGCGAACTAATTGCCCTCTGACACACTCATTTGATTCAGTAACCAGTATGACTCCAAGCAGGGAAGTAACAATTCCGAAGGAGTAAAGACACTCAGCTCCAGTTTGTTACTAGATTTCGTTACAGCCAGATGATGAGGTATACATACATGTATATCAAGAGTAGGATCTGTTGCTTTTCGTTATTACGGGAATAGCTTTGAGCCGAACAGGATCAAATCAGGCATCGATGTCGTAAGATAGCATTGTAGAAGTTAATCGTAAACATATTTAATAAACACTCTGGAGTCTTTTCGATTACAACACGGTGTGACACACTGTGCCCATGACCCTTTGAGGTGTAGTAGTCTTGACTCACTGTGCATCAGTTGACAATGGTGATTATTGATTTGCGAATTGCTTCTGTATAATATAAACAGCCCGTTTGCAGCACAGACACACCCAGCGTAGGCAGTGAAGTGTAGATCCTGGCGTACAGCTTGACTTCTAGAGCTGCTGCTGTCTGGCATTTGAGAATTAATGTGCAAAAAGAGAGAACATTTGAAACCTTACAAAGTACCTTTCTCGGTCCTTCAGTTTGGAAATCGCTGTCATTATACAATTGGTTAACTTCTCCCATACTTTTTTCAAGTAATATATAAATCACATGCATCAGAATTAGCAATGTGCACTTCATGCTTTCCAGAAGATTCTTGTGGCCCTATATAGATCATTACCTCATCGGTTTTAGGTTGTATGGAATTCTGATGATATCAAAACAATTCTTGCCCCTGAATATTATCCGTAAACAACAAAATACTTCCTATACTTAAAGGATGGAAGTTCAATTTGGCCAGCAATTTCAATTGTGGAGGCAGAATTCATTCCAAGATAGTTTGGAGGAAGACAATTTGGGGCGTCACCTGACGATTTTATGTCAATGAAATAATTAAGTAATTATGGTCGAGCTCTTTCCTTGCTAGCGTACAGGGTGCGATGCCATACACAGGCTATATAGCATGTAAAGCTCAGTCATCATCAGCATGTTGCAGCATTGAAGTGGCACACATTAGGAATATGGATTCTATCTACTATATGTGTATGCCTGCAGTAATGAGTGCAAGTTCAGCGTTACCACGCAACATCGACATCAAGCAATTAGCTTCCTGGTTGTTAGGCAACCGATGCTCCTGATGATAATGCCCGTTCTTTCCACGTGCCTCGAGCGCGCGTCATAACAAATTGCCGGACTTGGGCTTTTGAAAATGTCCTACACGCTCTTAGTCCAGCAAAAGCATGATCAGACAGAATCCCAGTCATCAGCGTGTCGTTGTGATTTCTTATAATCTGACAGAGTGAAACAAGGGACAGGACGGTTTAGAGTGAAAATCACTCTTAATTTACATGGAAATACTCTGACACAATAATCACTGCCGTCGGAGCTCGAGTGAAAACTCGATCTTTTCGATTGAAGAAATTTCACTCTAAAACGTCTGGTCCCTATAATTTCCGACTGCTGGAGTAAATTTTCATTCGGAAAGATCGAGTTTTTACTCTGGGATGTCGACGGATCATTTTGCTCACCCACAAATGTTTCCTACTTAATGGGATAATGTAGATAACTGCATAAATGCTGGCGATTTCTCTTTTCATTCATTGAATCAAAGAATAATTTTGTGCGTTGAAACGAAACCCTTTACATCAAGAGGAACGGCACATTAATCCTGGTTTCCCGTCTCCTTAATGGTTAATGTGAATTCCCATTGGATTTGGACCATCCCGAAGGCTATCCCGACATTAAGATTGAAATTGTGATTGAGTCGTTTTGTTGAGACGTACGTACAAGACGAACAAAATTAAAATTTGCAAACCGACTGACTCCGGTTGAGGCTTTATGTCAAATATTGTTAGACTTCAACACAGTATCGTAAATTTGTGTCGGGAATTGGAAGGAGGGGAAAAGGTGGGGGAATGACTTCCCTGGCCTTGAAAATTGAAGGGGGGGGTTAACACCATATGACTCTACTATACACGGTGGTCGATGTTTATGATATGGATGTACATCTGTAATGTATTCAGATTGGCATAGGCCTATTTGTGGCTTTTTAAAAACTGTTTTCCCTTCTTAAGTGCATTAATTCTTAATGCATTTAAGTCGTTGGAAGTCAGAAAATTCTTCACAGTCTGCTTAAATTTCTCGCTTAAATTTTTTTGGGGGGAGATGATTCAATAGCCCACCATCACATTGTGGGGTAAGAGGTATATACCCCATCCACGTGATTCACACCCATGCTTTAAATCAGACGAGCTGGCTGATTTGTAAACACTTCCAAGCATCACGTAGCTCATCAACTTTCTCCGACGGCAGTTGATCCCAATTTGTTTGAAACTTCCAAACTCACAGCCCTGGAAAGCAGTGTAAACCATCTGGACTTGTCTTTTGTTAAGGGTAGATACAGAGAATGTTTTCTTCTCTGACAACATTTCAATCTAAAGTGGATCACCCCCTACATACAGCGCCAAAAATTCTTGAGGGTATTTTTGCAGAGTTGAGAAAGGAACGTGTGAGGGCGCTGTGTAAGGACTTACTTTTACATGGCCAGTGAAAGTGCGGGATGAGTTGCAACTTTGGTGAATTTTTGGCAAGTGAGAACTTCTCAGTAAGCACTAATGTTTTTTACTGCGCGTAGGCCCACATGTGGACGCAGAAGGCCTGCTAAGTAGAAATCTGACTTCTTTGCAGGTATTCTGCAACTAGGCCTACATGAACTACGCTACACCATGTACATGTACATTAGGACTACACCGTACACGGCAGTTTAATAGCCTAATCCGACTCCCAGTTATTTTGGACTCACATTGTCGCAATAGGGGATGGGGATTAGAAATATTTGTAAATATTTTCCAGGTCTGCATTCTCAGAAGATTATTAAATAGGCTAAGGCATTTTCAGAAATGTAGTAAAAGGTTAAATTTCAGGCAAATTAGCATAAACGTCCAACTTTGCTATTGAACTTGAAGTGACATCTGCACGTACAGGGAATACTATGATGTAGGCCCTATGGACTCCTACATGTATATCATTAAATCATGCATGTGACCTACATGAACTTGAAGTTTCCTAAGATCGTGCAAACTGTCCCTTGGCTGTAGGTCTAGGCCTTATCAAAGATTGGAAACGATTGCTGGACCATGGAGATAATGTCTTTAAATTTTAATGAGAATAGTTTGCTCGATTGTGCAATATAAAGTGATGGACTGGTTATTTCCTTCCTTTACATGTTTCAATTTTTGGACTGATTGATAGCAGTCCATTCCCATAACAGAGTGAGCTGCACTATGCTTACCTTCTTGCTCTTTAGGAGATTTCAGATCAAATTATAAAACAAGTATTGTGAAATGATGTAAACATAGGTATATTTTTTTTTCAAACAAAATTTCCGATTACAGACTGTTTGAGTTGGTGTGCATTTCACATATATTATGCAAGTATACATGCCTACATGTACTTGTAACTCTGTTTAATGGTCAATGTGCTTATTCCTAGCAGGTAGTTGTAATTCCAATCCGTGCCTGAATGGTGCTAACTGCGTTCTGCAACAGAACAACCAGACTTACTGTGAGTGCCGTCAAGGTTACCATGGCGAGCTTTGCAACATGCCCTTAACCAGCGACAGTAAGTTGCCTGTTTTATGGTCCCATGTACATTTGTAAAATTGCAAAAAGGTGACTGATTGATCTTACATGTACCGGACCTGTATACATACGCCCTAGGGGATGGCTGGAGACAAGACTACCTTGTGAACCTCGGGAAGAAAGTTTTTAAGGTTTTTTGAAATTGTTAAAAAGGCAGTGGATCCCAAAGAATTAAGATCACTTAAACAAATCTCAATAAATTTGCAATTTAATCCTGTATGAATTTGTTTGATTACATGTATCTACCCATTTGTCCAAATTTGTATGAGTTTATTTTCTTATTTTGTCAACTTAAAAACTTATCAGTCTAATTTGGGCAAATAAAATAAAAAAATTCAATGCAGAATTGGAAAACTAGAAATTGCACATGTAACTTTTGAAATGAGTCAATTATTTCTTGAAATGTTGAACCATTTGAACAGGGAGATTTGGATGTGACCACTATTTCACTGTAGCAAAACTTGAGGCAAAGTGTTATTCAAGCACAAAATGTTACCAGAGAGTTTGAGGATTTGCCATATTACTTTTGGTGCCAAGTCACCTAAAAGTGGCCATCGCGAATTGACTAGTGGTAATTCACTCTTTGGTCCAAACTGTTGTGTGTTTGTTGCGTCAGGCGCACCTCATGAAGTCATGAATGAACTTGTACACTGCCTCTTTGTCATTTAGTCCTTGAAATACCTGCACACAGGCCCGTACACTTATGTAAACTCTAAACACGTTACCCAACTCAATCTAATATCACTCTAATCCCCAAAGGGTTTTGCCCACCTCTGCATACCTTACATATTACTTTTTCAGGGTGAGTGGAAAAACAAGCATTTTTTGCTTTGGCCTAATACCGATATTTTGGGCTTTTGTCGGGAGGAATAAAGCCTAGCTTCCTTCTTACAGAGAGCATTGCAAATTCTTCGTTGATATGCAATCGAGGGTGCGGAGGGTTTGGTAAAGTTTGCAAAGTTTCTAAACTTTACCAACTGTCTGTGTCAATTCAAGTACATGCGTGCCCATCCAAACAGGCACGTTGTCTTTGTCCCTTGAGTGTCATGCATTTCGAGTTGTACATTTTCACCCAAGGATTAACAAATGAAAAGACGATCGTCAGTGAAACTGAACTTAAGCGTAACATGCTGAAAGCACTAGTGAAATTCCAGTTAACTAAGCCTTATGGTAAAACCTCTTCCAACGCAAGATTTTATACAAAGATATTTGGGTGTGTTTATGGAAACCGTTTTAAGTAAGGCTTGATCCTGTGCTTGGTGGAACCATTCTCATGTCTGGAATCCATTTTGTTTTCAGTTCTTGTAGTTGAATGGCATCACAAATGTTCTCTTATAGGCTGTCTTCCAGTGGCAAGTCTTTTTGATACACTTTGCATGCAGTCATGTTGATGAGTTTTCTGTCAGTTTCGTCTAGTCTGTCGATTTCATATTGTTGTGTAGGAGGCAGATCCTGTGATGTTCCCCAACGCTACTTTTATGGCCAGACCCGAGGCTCCCTGGCATCGCCCTTCTACCCAAACGATTACACCAGCTATCAGGACTGTTGGTACTATCTGGGCGTGGCCGAAGCCAACAAATTTCGCCTGACCTTTCACCACTTGGATGTGGAACCCAGGAAGGATGCCGTTGATATCGGGAGCGGACCCGTGGCAGACATTGACAACGTAATTGTGACATACGAGAGTGGTGCCTACAACCCACCGCCAGGCCCCATTGAAATCACAGGGGACAGGGTGTGGATCCGCTTCACGTCCGACATGAACATTGTCAAGCAGGGATTCAACATGAGCTGGGTTGTAGGTGAGTCAATATGGACGTGTATCCCAGGTTGTATCACTTCAACTCTTTATGTTGGTCGCTGCAAGGTAGGACCTGGCACTTAGTTCTTGTTCTTGTACGTCTTCCAACTTTAGGGTTAGAGTCTAATTAACTAAGCAATTAAAGAGAGGTTGCAATGGAAGTATTGTAGACCAAAACTTCTAAAATGCTCCTTTCATTAACATTTTTTTCATTTTTTGGTGTAACTGTTTAAAGAGGTATTTTGCTGCTTTTTTGATTTTATGCTAGTAAAATGTAGTATGCTGCCTGTATTTACATGTAGTTTATGAATATTTATGTGAAACTCAGACATGTCCTTTTGAGGTGTGCAATGGACTCTTTTTTTTTCATGTGAATGTGTGTATTGTTGCGTTGTAGTATTCACAGCAAAACGAATGAAGGGCTTGTACGTGTACGATATGCCAATTAATGTAGCAAGTAGCAACAAGAATACAAAGCTACATGTATTCCTCATAACAAACAAATCCTGAAGAAGGTGTATGTGATATAATTTAACAGTCACAGTCACCATAAGTTAAAAAGTAGGTGTGTCATAGTTGTGGGTGCTGGATTACAGTGTAGTGATTTGCAGCACTTACTCATTTTGTGTTTGCTCGTTATAGACCTTATTCAAGTTGAATTCCAGTGCCATGACTATAAATACAACGGCCTTAGACGCTGGCATTCCAGCCAGTTTATGATTATGCATTCAACCAGAACATCTGCACTTTTCCGGAAATCCATTTGGATGCCTGGGCGCAGCTCATCCTCTGCCTGGGCGCTGTTTGTCCTTTTGTGTAGAAGTGACCTTCCTATTCCAACATGTCAACCTTTGTATGAAAGTGTTTAATAGAAGTTCTCTTTTGTGCATCAGCAAGAAATAAAAGATATATGTAGTACATGGTAGTTGATAAGTGCAAAACAGGAAAGAGTTTACTGCACAGTACAGTACATACATGTACATGTAGGCCTACCCTGTACACATGGAACTACAGTATGTGGCAGAAGTCTCCACACTACAGGTACAATGTACATGTTCATACACGTAAAAAGCTTTCACTCCAAAAATCATGTTGAGATGGGATAGCCGGGTCATTCCATGAGGTTGAAGCACAATTTGTGACGATGTCAATTGTTACATGGGTTCCGTAAAAATGAACAGCTATTTCCCTGCATGTGGGTTCAAACTGACGTTATTAATGTTCTGCATCTTGCAAGGCTGAATACAGAGGTGTGTGTTATTTCTACATAGTAAATGATCTACTCTACAGGTCATGACAGGTGGTAAAAGTTACCCATGTACATGTAACTCCCCATGACACTGTCACAAATTGTGCCCCAACCTTATGGAATGACCCAGCTACCATAAACCCTCCTTAAGAAACAAGTCTCTAGTGTGAGTAGCTGCTTGCTATCCTGTTATCTAAGGGCAAAATATGGTCCTGTGGACTGTCTGCTGGATACAAGGGGATCCATGTAGGTGTTACTCCACCCATAGCTACATCATGGAGGAAGGACACAAACCATAGCTACATCATGGAGGAAGGACACAAACCATAGCTACATCATGGAGGAAGGACACAAACCATAGCTACATCATGGAGGAAGGACACAAACCATAGCTACATCATGGAGGAAGGACACAAACCATACATGTAGCTACATGTATATGTAGCTGGGTATAGAAAATTGTGTGAGGGATCTTTGCGAAAATTAAGGATCAGGTATAATGGAAGCCGGGACTACAGTTGCCAAAAAAGACAAGTTTATGTGTACTCCTCACGCTTGCGTGAAAATATAAAGGAAAATAAGATATACAGTGTCACCGAGCTGTTTGTGATGTAGCAACCGTCTTCCACTTTGATTCCTTGCATGCTCATGTACTATTTGAAAAACTCCAACCTTTTGTTATTTTATGAGGCATGTGGCAAAATATGTTGGTCAAATAACATGATTACACCATTGATTGGAATCCAAAAATATGTTAGAAAAGTTCACTCCTGCTCATTTCTAAGAAATGTTGGTGTTCTGATTTTTGACAGAGTTAATCTTGGGTGAATCGAAACCAATAAAAATGGAGTTTCTCAGTTATCAGCAGTAATACCCACATGTACATACCAGTCAGAATGACAGTACAGTGGCTCACCCAGGACACTGACCATTTTTAAATAGGCGGGGCTGTGGTCTTTGTCCAATTTGATCAGTGTGCAGCAGTGCAATGACCATGACCTAATGAAGGCCTTCATATGTGCTCAAAAAGTTCAGAGGATTGCTTCATTTTCCCAAAATTTACACAAGTTAAAGTGATTAGAAAGAGTGCATATACAATTGTACAGGTACATGTACATGAAAAGAAGGAAAGTATTTTTTTATCGAAGTTTGCTTATTCTCAGATCAGGTGCTTGTACGTGCACTGCATTTCTGCTTTTGTGTTTTGTTTTTTACATGTTCATTCTATTTTTTGGCTGTTACATGTATTGTTATAAGCATTACACTTAGTCAAACTCGGGGATTTTCCTGAATTCTCTAAAATTTGTGACTATGTAGGAATCCATGGCACTTTCTCTTTCTATTGTACTACGACTTGCTCAGTGCCCTCTCTTTGAAAGTTTAGAGAATGCTGTACTTTGATCAATTGTAATGTACATGTATGTAATTTGGCTCCCTGTACATGTAGAAGGGATTTCATGTACACCTGTACACGTACATGTGCATGCATACTGCATGCACTGTGGATTAATTAATGTACGTACATGTACATGTATCAGGTTTGGTTACCCCTAACCTCCCAAATCCTCCAAAATCCTTTTCTGCAAAGTGGAGGAATTTGGAGGATTTTCAGGGTGTATGGCAAAAGTGCATGGCTGATTTCGAAGGATGCCATACATGAAGGTCGTGGATTAGATCTTATGTTGTTTGTGCTTAGTTAAGTACAAATTCAGCCCGATATTTCTTTTGAATCAACCCCACAGCTCAAGAGTGCCATTTGCACTGCCTCAACATACTGACAGGTACATGTATTTGAAGGATTCGGGCAGTTAGGCATACCTCCAACTGACATTTTCAAGAAATTTGGGAGGATTTTGAAGGATTTGGGCTGAATGCAATTTGTTGATGTTGAAAATCGGAGGATTTTGGAGGATTCAGGATGATTCCTTGTAAAAAGGCCTACCGGTAGGGAGTAAGGGTTAAAGCTGAAGTGCTCATGCTGTGTCGTACTACACAAAGTACATGCACTTCACTCTGTGTGAGAATGCTCAGAGTTCAGTGACAAGCCAACATCTTTCTATAAACTACCTTCATCGGGTTTTATTTGTACATGTAGATGGTGATGAATGCCGTGTGGAGCCCTGTGCACCCGGCGAGCAGTGCTTTGATGAGGAATACACCTACAGATGTGAAGGTACTTGTACGGGGTGTGCCGGCGTGGCACACAGAAGAAGTCCACATAATGTACATGTAGGGTGCGATGGCATTGTGTGGACTCGCGTACGTCCACACAATGCTTTCCCCTCTTTGAAAAACAGTTTCACAGGCATTTTGGGGTCATGGTTATAAAACCTTATGCATGCCAAACGATGGCTACATGCATTGTTTGGCACACACAAGGGTTTATCCACTATGACCAAAGGCTGAGGGTTCACCTCATTTTCTCGGTTTTCTCGGAATGACGCAATCTACATTCAGCATTTGCATCTTGGCATGTACAGAAAAAAAGCCCTTTTTAGTTTTTTATACAAATATTTAAGCTCTGAAGATAAATGACACTACATTCAATTTGAATGCTTCCATATTCATTTGCATGGATAACTTCAGAGAAAACTTGTTTTACTTAGAGGTGCTCTTAAATAGTCACCTCTCTGTCTCACAAAATTATGTTTCCTTGTTTTCATTTTTATTTATAACTTGTTTGAGTCCGCAGAAAGTGTTGGCGATAGGTTGAATGACTTTATGAATATGTTTTATTTCCAGCCCAAAACGAATGCTTCAGTAGTCCATGCACAAATAATGGCACCTGTATTGATGGAGTCAACAGGTATACCTGTCAGTGTCCTGACGAGTTTGAGGGAGTCAACTGTGAAACACGTAAGACCTCTGACCCGTTCAATTAATTCAAGGGTGAAATGTCTCTGCCAAGGAATAAAGTAGGTGTTAAGGAAGCACTTACTGTAGCAGTCTTTTTTGCAAAGACGGTGCTGCAAAGTGGCAGAACTGATTGACTTTATCAGGGTGGATGCATTCTTCCCGTGGGTATCATCTTAATGAGGAAACCAAAAGCACAATAAGTGAACGTCAGTGTTGCAATTCACAAAAGATCTCGTGACAAAAGGGGAAAGAATATATTTCAGTAGTAACTTTTGTATAAAAATAGGCTGAATTATATTGCAAATGTAACGATCCAATGAGCAAAACATTTGACCAACCAGGGAGCTATAGAAAGCTCCATTAACCAACAACCTTATATATCTCCCATAGGGATTTTACAGTTTGTGTGGGGTTAGCCATCTTTTGTCACCATGTGATCTTTGATTCTATTCACATTGTACATGTAGCTTTATGAACATAAAGTTTCCATAATTCGAGTGCTTGTATAGTTTGACTCAGTGTGCAATTAATTACACTTCAAATCTATTGGCAGTTTTGAATTTTAAGTGTCTGGAGGCTTTCTGGCATTTTGGTGTGAGTCCATGCTTACACATCTGTAAAGTTTTCAATCCATTTGGAAAAAGCACAGTATATAAGTACTTGTCTTCCCCCATCTTAACTTAAATCAAATGTTACACTATTTAGTACAAATGTTATTCAGAAATTCAGTGCAGAACACCAATATTGAAAGCAAAAAGACCCAACAGAAGGAAAAAAGAAAAAATTTGCATCTATTTTGGGATTGTTGATGAACAAACCATATGTGACCACCATCCCCAAACCAGGCTGAAGTAGGTAAACTTCATAACCCTAAAATAATGGAACTGCCACTGTTCAGGTTTTCATGGGAGTTCACAGCCATCCGGATTCGAAAAAGCTTTCTGCAGACAGAATTTCGATTTAACATGGATCACTCTGAAGTGTAAAAAATAAAGCTGAAGGAGAGGATTGTCCAACATCACAAATACTGACTTCAGCCTGGTACTGGGATGGTGGGGTCACATATACCAAATCAGTTGCACTGACACACACATATGTACATTATGATTAATATAATTGCTTCTCACATCTTAGAGTATCTCCAGCCACGATTTAGCAAGATTGAAGAGATGAACAAGACTTCTTGCCCTGTGGAAAATTTCTATTCCTTTTATGCTGTTTAATGAATAATTCACTTTTTAAATCGTTTTTTAAAAGTCTGCTTGAAACAAATCTACATAGTGTATTGTTTCTCATTTAAAACAAAAGAAAATTTTCCCTTACTTTTCAGGAATTTTTTATTCAAATATTCAAATTCGAAAAATGATATTCAAATATTCGACAATCGATCAAATATTCAATAATTCGGAAGTTCGGCACAGCCCTACCAGCATGCAAGTAAAATGATAGCTCCCAATTTGACTTTACAGCTGTAGACCCATGTGAGAACACCCCATGCAGCAATGGAGGTATCTGCTCTGGTAGTGGTACATCCTTCCTATGTCAGTGTGTCAATGGCTACACCGGGACCACCTGCACAGAGGGTGAGTTTCAATCTAGACAAATGCCATCTTGCTGACAGGTGCCCAGACCTCTGCTGCTTGTCTCAGTGATTGTGGCCACCACCGCAGAGGCACCTGCCTATCCATGGTATATTTTTTTGTCACTAAAGGGAAGGATATCCTTGATTTGTTCGAACAAACTCAACTGTTGAGCTACTGCATTGAAACAGTCCTTTGTACCCAGTTTGTAGAGAATGTCACATGCCCGGTTAATTATTTTAGAGGGCCATTGTTTGCAGACTCCCTAGGGTGTAGGTAAAACTCCTATCGAAATCTGAGGATTTGGGACCCTGGCCTATCAGTCCAAATCCTCTGATTTTACCATAGAGGGACAAAATCCATCCCTCTACCGCAAAAAAAAACCAAAGCTGTCCCATAACCAATCTTTTTTACAACTTGGCAAATGTAAAGACTCCATTATGAGTGTATGTGGGAAGTTTTGGTTCGACTGGACATAGAGTTTTGTTTTGAGGGTCATTCATAGTTGATGCTCTCACATATGTTGGCATGTATGCATTGAACACATGTCACTGTTCATGTTGGGCTAACCAGTCTTGCAAATCTGATTATTTGTGAGAATGAAATCAATGACTTTCCTTAAACTGGTGTTGAAATTAATGACTGCAAAAATTACAGGAAAATTCATTAAGGCTTGGTTTAAAAATGCAACTTTAAAAATGCATGTCAACGAGACAGGAGGGATGTTCAAGGAATTCTTCCCCTCTTGGGGTACATCTTGAAATAGTTTGCGGTACCCACTGCTACCCACTGCTATCTGACTCGGAACAGCCAGCCGACCCCGGCAAGCTCGGTGGTTGAGTGGTTAAAATGTCTGCACTAGTAAGCAAGAGGTCCTGGGTTCAAGTTCCACCCAAGTAAGCACTGAGTATACATGTACAGTGTGTATGAATATGTACATCGGGTCAAGGGCAAAATCCGTAATTCAAATTTTGCAGTGTTTATGTGAGTACTGTTTGGTTTCACTTATTTCACAGATATTGATGAATGCGCCAGCAACCCTTGCTCAGGCAATGGTAACTGTATGAATGGTCGTAATAGGTTTGACTGTACATGCTTCCCTGGCTATACAGGAGTTCGCTGTGGTGTAGGTACGTTCATGCAAGTTTAAGCTAGAACTAAAGTTCAACCATTTTCTTTCAAATCTCATGATCAGTCATGAGGTTCATTGTCTTGGCATGGAGTGCAATTATTCCATTTCAACTATTCCCCACTCTCTCTGCTACTTGTAACATATACATTGAAGTGGCTATTGATATAACAAGCAATGTCACCCTGCCCCAGGGCCTTGTGAATGGTCAACTACATGTAGATAGTCCAACCAACTGTCCATTGTTTAGATGATGTGGATCAAACTTTAGTTGACTATCCAATGTTTAGATGATGTGGGTCAAACTTAGTAGACTATCCATTGTTTAGATGATGTGGGCCAAACTTTAGTTGACTATCCATTGCTTAGATGATGTGGGTCAAACTTAGTAGACTATCCATTGTTTAGATGATGTGAGTCAAACTTAGTAGACTATCCATTGTTTAGATGATGTGAGTCAAACTTTAGTTGACTATCCATTGCTTAGATGATGTACATCAAACTTAGTAGACTATCCATTGTTTAGATGATGTGGGTCAAACTCTAGTTGACTATCCATTGTTTAGATGATGTGAGTCAAACTTTAGTTGACTATCCATTGTTTAGATGATGTGGGCCAAACTTTAGTTGACTATCCATTGCTTAGATGATGTGGGTCAATCTCTAGTTGACTATTACATGTAGTTGTTACTCAAACTGTGATTTAGCATGTGACTGAATGTGGTTGGCAAACTTGGTGATGTGTTTGATAGGTCATCAGTGTTTGTATTCTTGTTATGCAGGCGGTAAAATAAGTTTTTGACTTTCAAACTTTGAAATGATGGCTTAATTCTGACAGTATATTTGTGTTGGGATAATGTTTAGGCAACACGCAGCACTGAAACTTTACATTTCAGTGGGTTTGAGGAAAAAATTCTTAACGATCTTCTAAAAGTGAAATGCAGGGTCCACACTGTAATTTGAATTGCTTGTTTCTGACATTTTCATTGGTTTGTTTTTCACAAATTGACCAAAAACTAATGAAAATGAATAAAAAGATATCGCATATGTTGAGAGGTGGAAAAAAGTGAAACCAAAATGTATAAAATCAGCCATTTTTTACGATGGCCTGCAGATATCAACGAGTGCTCGTCTAATCCGTGCATGAATGGAGGCGTTTGTACTGACCTGGTCAATGGATACAGCTGCTTTTGCCCCTTGGGCTTCACAGGCAGCCGATGTGAAACAGGTAGGCCAGGCAAACTCTGCCATCTTGACAACTCAGAAAGCCCTTTACTTTGCAAAGAGAAATATGCCGTCACAGCCAGAATTAATGTTTTCTCATAATGGCATGGTTCCGATGTTGTCCTTCTGCATTTCAATCAACATATTTAGTGCAGTTATAGCTTCAAGTCTTACTGTGGCGTCCATACTTGTAATTATTTTGGACATAATGTTGGAGTCCTGTGGGTCCCTTGCTTTGGAAAGGGCTGTTGGCACTCTGCATAGAATTGCCATATTAGAGCCAAAGAGAGGCTGCACTTGCAAAACCGAGCACTCTTTTGGTGCGGAAGAATCCATTCGAAGCGGCCTGAAACTTGCCAGTGCACCCCCACTCAAAACTCAATGTATACATGCACATGTACAAACCAGGGCCAAATTTCACAGAGCTATCCGAGCAGAAAGAAGGAGTTTGGAAATCTGTGTGATAAGCGAAAAAGCAGCAGAAAACTATGCCGCAGGAATTACACAATATGAGACCTTTTGACTGGGCACCTGGTTTAGCTCAGCAAGTATTTTTCAATGCCGCCAATCTGTGGACAAGGCCTCAGAGGTACATGTACATGTAGCCCATCTTGAGCAGAAGTACCCCCTCATCAGTTCAGAATGAGCCATGTTAGTGGGGAGTGTTCATGTTTGTTGGTAGCAACCCGACCATAAATGCATGCGTTTCATAGTCATTTGTGATCCAGCGCAGCAGTGCAGTTCCCATCACTGGAGCCTCCATTGTTAGGAAACTTGCCCCGTCTCTTGGTCCAGCTCAGGCCTTACACATGTAAAGTAAGAGTGCTTGGATTTTTTGTCTCTCGGAGAGAGTGTTTCCCCAAAAAGTTGTAGTTTCGGCAAATACATTTGCAGTGTTGAATCAAAGCAAATTCTACGGACAGTATATTTTACTGTTTTGGCAAGATCGTTCCTTTTTATAGCTGTCAGCCAGTGAAATTCCTTTTAAAATCCAATTCAGAATTAATACAAGAAAGTGCAAGTTGTCTGTCATTAAATTTTAAAGATCATTGCATGAAATTTTAAAGAATACACTTCTATTTGTTTTACAGTTTTTCCCACAGGTTTTTCTGAGGACCTGGCTTTTGGAATATGACCTTCGTGGCATTTTGGCTGTGTGTGCTTAAGATGTTTACAATAATCTTTTCTACACGTACCTGTGTTAACATCTTTGACTTTCAGATATTAACGAGTGTAGCAGCTCTCCCTGTTATAATCAGGGCACCTGTACGGACTTGTTCAATGAGTATCGCTGTACTTGTGCACAGGGCTTCAGCGGCCCGCAGTGTCGAATAGGTAATCAATCTACAGTAGGGCAGTCAAAGGGACCTTTAGCAGTAACTAAACATTTGTTCATCTATTATAAGAGAGTATATCTAAAAGCCTTTATCAGTTCGACAGAGGATTGCCTAGATGTAGTCACTTCATTCGATATTCTTTCCTTAATTTCCAACACAGTTAATTCAGGATGGAGGAATTTTTAGGATTTGCCATGTTTTATAAAAATGTGCTTTGTTTTAAATAGTTGTTTTTTGAGGGGCAACTCAATCATTTGGCAAACCACTTTTGGTATGTTTATACACAATTTCTTGAGATAAAGTTATGGCCTTGAAAATGATCCTCACACTATGTTGGTCATGTTGTAGCTTTCTGTGATCAAATGATTATAGTATTGCTTGAAGTGACTTTTTAAAATTATGCAGTGGATGCCGTGGGGCTGTTCTGAACCAGATTGTCTCTTATGTTTGCATATGTAGCAGTAACATGAATAATTCATACAAATTGTACTTGTGCATCGTTATTCATAAGTCACATGTATGGCATATGAATAATGCATAAATCCATCATTATCCCCTTCCCCTCCAACATAGACATTGATGAGTGTGCTCCAGCTCCATGCCAGAATGATGGAACCTGCGTGAACCTCGTCAATATGTTTGAGTGCCAATGTGCCCCAGGATACACGGACAGCGTCTGTGGAACTGGTACCCAGCTATCCAAGTCTCCCTCAACCACAGTTCTTTGAATCTCCTTCTCTTCCATACTAACATACTTTTCATCCATTTCATGGCTTTGGGTTTTTCCGTTGGCCAGAATTCTGGAGCACGAGTTTCGAAAGAAGCAAAGTGTGGCGCTGTGCTCTTTGCTTCATTGCACCTGATTGCTTCCAATCATATTAAACCTGTTGCTCTCTCACATTCTGTAAGGTGTTTGCATTTAGCTCCGAGGAGAGGTGAATGTTTTACCTGGCTACAACGGAAAGAATGCGATGAATTGAATTAACTGGGGAGGTCACAAAAAGTGAAGTATTTCCCACTTGAAACCCAGCAGCATTCAATGCCATTCTGGGTCATGGGTTGTCAGACTTTGTGTTGTCAAAGTTTGTGTTGCCTATAAACTGTTTATGTTGGGTTTGAGGAACTGCTTGGGTTTCAAACAAGTCGAGGTGTTGTTTACCTCCCCAGCCAAATACACAAAGCAGCTTTACTGCATGGTGCTGCCAGACATGAATACCTGTGCTCAATGCTGCCTTTGTTATGGATACGATTGAAGGAAATCCATGTTGAAGTATAGGACATGTCATGGATTTTCATAACGAAGCACAATTGGCAGTTTTTTAGTGTCACTTTTTGTTTGCTGCAAAAAAAAACCCAGTTTCTGAATTTAAGTACGACTTTGCTGATTTTTGGAAAGTTGAGGCCATGTATCTGTTTTGGTACTCTGAGCATTCTGTCTGTGTGGATAAAAGTACAAAAAGTGAAATAGTGGTGTTGGATTTTGAGATAATGACATGTTAACACCCAACATTTGCCTCCTCTTGTTCCTTGACAAAATTTGTCATCCAAATATATACTGTTGATACAATGCTGACTTACTCATTTGGGATTCAACACTTTACATATATTATTGAAGAGATGTCTGTTTGGCCAGCATATGGCACTGTACATGGATTTGTGCCTTGCTATATTTATATACTTATACTTGTTAATAAAATAAAGTGCCCATCATACAAGAGCAGAAAATAGTACCTAGCAAGCATGGGACCTTTTTCAAAATTTGGCTTCAGTTTTCGTCCAAATGTGGCAATCTGGAATCCCACGATCAGTGTCACTCATTCACTGCTTGATTCAAGTTAACATACTGCAAGCTTGGAGATCAGATCAGACAGCTTGATGTCTCTGTGGCAGCAGTAGGGGCTACCGATGCCTTTAGTTAGAGGGTCTTAGCTCAGGGAACTATAGAAATCAGGAAATTGAAGCATTCAAACATATACCAAACTAAGTTTTCGAAACCCCCAAATCTCCTCTGCCAAAGTCATAGGCAGTTATACGTGTACATGGGGCATTTAATGAAAAGTTTGGCTGGCATTAAACCTGCTTTACAATCAGTATGTTTTGTGCATATCAGTAACTTCATTAAACAGCTCCAGGGTACCAGACAGACTAATGAAATTTGACACTCTGCTGCTAACAGTTACTAAATCCTTTTCACTTCATCATCAGGTGTGTCATGGGATCCTATTTTATAATTCATTACCCTTCATTACCTATTCTCCCAAAATGGAAAGATGTGTTTTGAGTTGTTATCCCTGAAGTCCTTCCATATTTCTACATTCATAAAACAAATTATGGTATTAAATAAATCATCCTGTTTTTACAACTGCATGAAAAATTATGAAGTCTTTGCGGTTGCTTGACTCATTACAGTTCACAGTGATATAGTCTGGCAGTCTGCTGATGTCACAATAAACACAATGTCTAAACCTCAACAGGATCCTTCATTACCAACTGGGCATCAGCCTTCAAACAGGCACATCTGTCATTTTTGGTAGAATGGGTTGGTTTGATCTGATCACATCAGAATCTGTAAACTTCTTTTCCACTAATGTTCTTGTTTTTTTTTCAAAGGTGTGATGTTTCCTAATGAGTGACTGTATAGCTATCCTTTCTGTGGCTATGGTTGCGGGTTATTTGACATTTACATGCTACATATCTATTAATAGCCAAAAATGCCAGTATGGGAAACAGTGTGTCGGTGACTGGATATTACAAGCTAATATTATGCATAAACCATAAAGCAGTTGTAATTTTGAAACAACGATTAATTCTATTTTTTGTAATTTTGTAAGCATTTGTGCATTTATTATCTCTTGGTAAGAGCAGCATTTGTTCAGGTTGTTTTCCCATGAAGCAAAAAAATTTACAAAACTAGAAACGTTAACCAAAGGGACACAGTACATGCACTGCGGAAGCTGTCCTGAAATCCACCATAATCTAGCAGTGTGGCGGTAATCATGTCCATTTACTTCATGAATAAATCGGAACAAAAATTGTGTGATCAGCATACAGTCCTGAACCCATTTATTTTCCTCTGAGAAGACAAATTCCAATCCGTTTGGCAGGGCTTCACTAAGAAGACACAGCAGCTGACAAACGTCTTGTGAAAACCGTGACAGTGGACTGATAATTACTAAGTGATGTACCATACGTTTGTTCAACCCTGTTATCCAGATATCAACGAGTGCGCAAGCAACCCATGTATTAATGGTCAGTGCACCAATGAGGTGAATGCGTACACGTGTGATTGTCTACCAGGGTTCACAGGAATCAACTGCGACATAGGTAGGCCAACAAAACCTTCAATCCATTTTATTTCTTTCCCATTAGCATCCTGCTTATTCTCACCGGCACAGACTTTCTCGCCACTTTTGTAGCCCGTAAGAAGTAACAGTGACTTGTAGCTGGCAGTCCTGAGGGCGAACAGTCTTGAAGACTGCCCCACAGATCTGAGGAGTACCTGCCAATAGAGTACTTAGGGCAGACTCATGCATCGAGGTAGGAACTGTAAATGGGTTGGACTAACCCACTCCCATCGGAATATTACATGTAGATCTAAACACAGTTGTGGACTGATGGGATATGGTACAGGTGTTCTTTTACTGCCAAGTTGTATATTATGTGATGTAAAGGACATGTGGAGTGACGTAATGCATACAAAATCTTGCCTTTTTTGTGAGATTTATTCTTAGTTTCAAATGCAATAGCCATACATACATGTGATCAGAGTTTGTGCTGATTGGTCATCCCTGGTGATGGAGTGGTACCTGTGACATTTGATTTGTTATGTACTTGCCACGGGACTGTTTAGACCAATGAAATGCTGGTATCCAGGACAAAACATTTGATGTGACCCCGCAATTGTTACATTAAACTTTCTTCAGAGATTGACGAGTGTGCCAGCAGCCCATGTCAGTCGGGCAGCTCCTGTGAAGACCGCATCAACGCCTTTTTCTGTCGCTGCATCCCGGGCTACACTGGCGTCACCTGCGAAATGAGTAAATGCATCAAGTCTTCTCACTGATAACTAACACTCACTCCCCGGCTTTCCACGTGTTCGTACAGATGAAATATTTCGGATTCATTTGTATACATTTTACAGATGCAGAAAATAATAGAAAACTTGTGACGTGATTTGATTTTCAGGCATTGTACCATTTTGTAAATAACTTGTATGAGAAATAGGTCAAACTAATTGAGTGCCATGTAGACTGAATATAAGTCGCATGTCTGTAATTGTTCCAAATGGTATAAATATAGCGCCAAACTTAAATGCAGAACCATAGAGCTGTGTTGACTTGCTAGAGTGACAACCCACCAGTAAGTGGGTGGAGCCTGCTTTCTGTTTGTATTTGTGCACAAACAGTATGGACATTTTGAAATACTGTGCCTTTTAGGATGGCTGTTTGGGTGTGCATATAAATAGGTCTGTTTTCCTCCATGGGTTTCCTTTTTTGCAAAGCTGGTACACTCAAAACTAAATAAAATGCACAAATTTGGCAGATGTGATGTGCATATGGAGGAATATTGCTCACAAAATCCAATCTTGCCTAATTTCAACACAGTTTGTGATATGCACTTGAATTGAAAATCTCCATTGGTTTCTTAATGTTTTCTATGAGGAGTTGGCAATTCACGAATTTTATTAAGTTAAACACTGACTTGTCTCTGAAAAGATGAATTTTATGCCTAAACAGAACCTCTAGGGTTAATATGTCTGCAAACTGCCCCCCCTTACAACCTCCCCCCTGCAGATATCAATGAATGCATAAGTCTGCCATGTCAGAATGGCGCGACCTGCGTCGACATCACCAATGCCTTCATTTGCCAGTGTGCTGCCGGATACCAGGGAACTTTATGCGAGGAGGGTAAAGAAATATTGTGCATGACTCTATCGACCCATCATTTCACTCACTGAAACATCTAGGCTTTCCTTCACCATTGAACTTGCAGGGTCTCATTGCGTGAAACCATCTGAGCTTAACGCATATCTTGCTTACTTCAACTAGATCTTAGTGAGACTTTTTACTAACCTACTCAGATTCCATCTTCGTAGCGTGAACACAGATCTCCCCTTCTTGCTATGGAAGAAAGATGTCACGACTGCATCAGCAGTAACCTGGAAATACAAAACAAAAAATTACACAAACAGACAAATTATGTGAACTTGATCCCAAGGGCTTTAATTGACTCCACTCTGTCGCTATCAATCTCAACACTGCAAAGAAAATGACTGAGACGTCACATGTTCGTTGGTGTTAAAAAGACCAATCCTTGTTGGTTTGCTTGATCAGCAGTGTCGATGTGGAGTTCTTTTTGAGTACCAAGGTTCTCTGCCAGAAAATGAACAGGATCAGAGGGAATAAAGTTGGAGTACGTAGGCATTTGATGGTAAATGCACAAAAATAAGATTACAAACTAATTGTAAAACTTCAGACACTCCCAGTTTTGTAAAATTTAAGTTTTATGGAGAACTCTCGAGTACTCTCATCCCAAAAATTTAATTTTTATCAAACAGTGATAGTCTAAAGTCATCATTTTACTTTGTAATCTTACTTTTGTGCATGTACCATCAAATGCCGATGTACTTCAGCTTTGTTCCCTCCTAAGTAGTTAACTATTTGGCAGAGAAGATGGTACTAGGAAAGTACTTGACTACCACACTGTTGAACAGTATGGCTTGGTTCGTTTGTCAGTGAGGCAGGGTGCTTTGTGGGTGTTAAGGGTAGCATATATTCGTGTCTCAATCTGTGTGTGCTATTTTTTTTTGGAATATGCTTGCACACGATTATTGATCTTTTTCTGTTTTGGAATGTCATATAGCTTTTAAAGAAACCCGGTTTTTTGCTCATTTATGGGATGCATTGGATAACTAACCTACTGACTTTCTCACAGCAATCAGGTTTTCCGCATGTGATATCTTACAGCTGACGAATGCTTACAGTTTTTCCAAATTCTCTTGTCATGTGATGGATGGACCATGCAACTTAAACCAATACATGCATTTATTATTCTGTGAACCATGCACTAACTCACTGACATCACTTTTACATGTATCTGAGCAGCTTCACACTGCTGCTGTTTGGTTGGTCCTTTCATTCTTGTCTGTCATGGTGGTGGCCTTGCCAGTGTTGAATAATAGATTGACCGTGCCGTTTTAACTTTTTTTGGTTTGTTGATTGATTTTTTCAAATGGCTGTTGGGAAAAGGCACTCAGTAACGCTTGGGCTGAAAAGTATCAGTGCATTTCATTGTGCTCCAGGGAAGGATTTGATCTTTGCCTGTCCTCGCAGATGAAAAGCAAGGAAAGTTTCACATTGCCAACCTAACAGATGGAAATTCAAAAGCCTACTTTCAATCCTGGTAGCCATTAACATGTTTGTTATGGAAATTCATGCATACAGGCATGAGTGACAAGGGTAGCTTTACATGGGGTGTAACAATTCTGTGATGTATTGGCAGTTGTGATCTGTGAGATCCAGCTTTACTATACAAAAAAATGGACTGGGATACTTGGCCACAAATAAACTTGGACAAAAGACAAACTGTTTAGATTGGAACAAAACATTACTAAAGTATACTTTGAAGGTATGTTCACCTGAAGGAGCCATTGAAAACAAACTTTGTGGTTTGCTTTCGATGGCTTATGTATTCACACATATTGACACATCATACAGAATTGCATTATTGTGACCTCCGCCAATATTCCATAGCACCATGGAAAACTGCTGTTGTAACATTTGAAGTACTTGCTCAATCTTCCAGTGGCGGATGTAATGTTTATTGCGCCCTCATCAAGCCACACACTGACCAAATAATACTGTTTGTAAAGTAATCCTTCATTCTTTTGCCAGATATCAATGAATGTGCCAGCGTGCCTTGTGTCAACAACGGTCAGTGCACGGACATCGTCAACGGGTACGCCTGCTCCTGCCCCGCTGGCTTTGCAGGGCTGCGGTGCGAACTCAGTAAGTTGTTGTTTTTTTTCTCAGACACATTGTAAGAGGGAAGTTATACTACAGGGTTTGTGTCTCGCCAACTTTGATCTTTTTGGGGTTGAGAAGACGGATTCAACTCTTACTTTCTTTCCCTCGCCTGCTGCCCGTTACCAGTGGCCTCAAAACTGTGCAGTTATATGCAAAGCATGAAGTGGAGTTCAGCGTCAGTGTATTTTACTGACTGAAGGTTGGGCTATCTTGGAGAAGCACCTGTTCCAATCTTTAAACAAGTTCATGTTGGAGGACAAGCAAACCTACAACACTATTTTGTGTCAGGGAAGGATCATGTTAAATTGTCAAAACTCCCATTCATTTTGCCACTGTTCATGGCCTGGGTTGTAGCAAACATTGGTCTGTGTTAGGGCCTTGAAGTGTTGCAAGAGATGGAGCTGCCAGAAGAAATGTCGTACAGATCTTTTGCAACTGAGTCTCACAGGTCAGCATTTGCAACGGTATTGTTGCTTTAAAACTGTCATGGTTTTGCCTCAAATAAAAACAGCCCCCTTTAGCTGGTTTGTTGTGAAGTAATACATCCATAAGAGGTTAACAAACTTTTCTTTTGAATACTTGCAGATGTGCAGGAGTGTTCCAGCAATCCGTGTCAGAATCTTGGTGTGTGTGTGGATGGGGTCAACTCCTTCTCCTGTGTCTGTAAACCAGGCTGGGAGGGCAGCCTCTGTCAACTGTGTAAGTTGAGACCGTGTCCTGGTACCCGTGTTTAGTGGAGATGTCCTTCAGATCATCATAAGATCTCACAGGGCCATTGCTGTGGAGACCAGCACATGATCTATAATGCAAGTCGTCATAAGCTATTCAAATCAGCTGCCAAAAAAAAAGCATTCCTTTGTCATTGTTCACCCTGTTTCTTGTGACTAGTCTTGTGTGTGGTCTTGTGATGGCCCTGACTACAGTACATTAGTGACTGGTATCCATACATAGGTGCCCTGCATGTGTACGTCCACTGTATGGGGGGTGGTGGGGTGTGGACAAACAGAAGCTGGACATATGAGCCAGACTCATGGGAAATGGATTTTGCTACCGTCTGGCGACTTCTATTAGAACATACTTTGCATCATGCCATAGTCCAATGCATTCCATCCAGATGTCTCAGCTACGGCTGTGGTGCATTCCAAGATATTGGACACCTGACCAAAAATACCAGGTACCAAGATCCTTGGTATGTATTTTGTCACCCCAGATGGTTAATAATTCTGGCCCAGAGATTTTGTGTTCTGTGTTAATGTTATGCTTTGTGTCCAGTTGTAGCAAATATTTTCTCCAACTTATTTTCTTGTGGAATTGCTGGTATTTCTGAAATAGCATGATAAAAGATGCTCTACGATTGGTTTTTATTTGTTTATTTTTTTTTAATCCCGTTCTTCAAGCACCTGTATGGCTAAAGAAGTGTGCAGGGCCTACTTAGTACAAATCAAAGATTGTATAGCACCGCGTAGCAGTGCAAGGTGGAGAACTTCACCGCGAATACACGTAAAACGTTGTAATCGCATAGGCGCCATTTGAGCAAGCAATACATCTGCGCAATGCACATTAATGCACAGGCACAGGCGCCGCGGCAGGCACGTGCACCTGGTGAGCCTGCGCCAAAGCATGACGGTAAACTACGCAGGCGTATCGCTTGCTCAAATGGCGCTCGTGGTAATTACATCTTTTGGGCAGAGTTATCCATCTTGCGCCTTCGGCGCTACACGATCTTTGGTACAAATCAAGTGTCATGTGCAAGGTATATCCCCAATGTCAGCATTTATCAAAGTGTCACTTCTCTTTTTGTCCCTGAAGCTGTGGACGACTGCGAATCCTCACCTTGCCAGAATGGTGGTACATGTCGAGATGACCATCTCTCCTACGAATGTAGCTGTATACCTGGCTACAGCGGTCTCAACTGTGAAATAAGTAAGCCATCATCTTTTTCCCTCCCAAGTTCAAAGTTCACAAATATTTTTGTTAATCCTTAGCAGCCTGATATCCCGGCCAACAAAGGAGCAGGTTAATTTCCCTGGAGGTCTTACACCCTGATCTAACAGAGGCATATTCATACTCACTGTTGTCCAAGAGCTTGTGAAAAAATTCACAAAATCTTCTTTGGTACAACGCAAACATACACCTTCCTGGTTACGAGTGCATACCTCTGAACCACCAAGCTTGCTGGGGTCGGTTAGCCATTTTGTGTCAGATGTAGCGGCGAGTACCATAATCAAAGAATTTCCACAGATATGCTTTTTGTTTGGGGAGATGTCATTTTTAACAACAAGTCTTACGCTAACAGTTATGTATGTTCATAACACCGTGTACCCAGTGTTATCCAAGGGCCTGCAAAAACACAGGTACTGGTTACTGCCATTGTTAGTTTTAAGGCCACCTTGGACATACAAACATATCAGATAAACTGGGTGCCATCGTATGAAATCATAACCGGTATTCACACTGAAAATTCACAGAGGTAAGATACTCATTGTGCATTGACTTCATGTCAGTTTCCCTCGAAGGCTCAACCAAGGACTGAAATTGAGAAGCAGTGTTTCCCTCTAGTCAACCCGATGTCTAGTTTTTCTTTCTTTCTTTTCAAATCCCCAGACAACAACGAGTGTGACAGTGATCCGTGCTTGAACAATGGCATATGCATGGATGGCATCAATATGTTCACTTGTCAGTGTCCCGGTGGCTGGACTGGAGCCCGCTGTGAGATAGGTAAGCCTCGCTCAAAGACCGCTAAACCTGGCCACAGGTTAACAGAATACTGTGGTCAGACATGCAAAAGCAAGGACTCACTTTGTCACCTCAAGAGACTGTTGCCTGAATTGATAGAAAATGATTTGAGACCTACTTTCTTCTTTGGTTGTTCTTTCTTTGGACTTCGCATGGGTTTCTATAGTGCCATTTGAATGCCTGACATGTGAGCCATTACAACTCGATGAACACTGCATTCCATATGACCCTTGTTCTGTCAGGAATTTCCTCATTGTTGGGATGCAATTACAATCACATGCCTTCTAGTTGTGTGCTGTTACAAACTATGAAGCAACACCATACATGTACTTATTTTTGTGCGTGTACTTTATGACCTGCTGCACAACACACAGTTACACGATGGAATAATTTTCACTTTAAATGTGATCCGCTCCAGGAATAGGTTATATAAGCTGCAAAAAAAATCAATCGAGTTATATACATGACTGGAAAGCCCACATTGTAAGCTTTCATTTGGTGTATGATAAAGCTCCATAGCCTTTCCCGTTCTGACACATTTGCATTAATTCCAGGCAATTGAAATTGCAAAACCAAGAAAACAGGCTTTGAAATATCTGGCTCTGATGTGGGTTGTAGGCATTTAATACTTAACAACCAACATGTTCTTGTGTTATGACCACCTTCAAAATTCGCACAAGGACTATTAAAGGAATTAGTGTATTCAATGATTTTGTCAGGAAAAAAGAATTTTTGAATCCAATGTTGAGCGGGTCATTGCTCGTAAATGCATGGTGCGACTTATATCACCTTTTCCTGGAGCAGGTCACTAAAAAGCTCTGTGGAGTAGGATTAAGTCCTGTGGTTGTTCATCACATAGACTTCCAGTTACCATTGGCAACATCGAGAGACCTGGCAACCTTGAGAGATCATAGAGTACAGTTCTGTGTGTAAAAGGCATTACAGTGAGAACCAGTGCGTGAACCAACACGAGTGCGTACTCCATTAGTTTGCACTACACTTTCTGGTTCACAGTGACGTCACACATCGGTACTCTATATCTGTTTCTTACTTTGTTTCGCCGCTCTGAGACTCACATAGGATCTGTTAATACTCCTTCAAATGGTTACATGCATTGTTTTCTCAGCTGTTTATAGATCTGACATTGCCATCTCTTTCTTGTCTCCTTTATCGTCCAGACATCAATGAGTGTGCAAGTGAGCCTTGTTTCAATAATGGGACTTGCGTCAACGGCGTCAACCGGTTTCGCTGCAGCTGTCTGTCAGGCTGGGAGGGGGAGCTTTGTAATGTCGGTAAGTTGACATGTTCTGCATCTGGACTGTAACTCTGCTTCATTCCCTGTGCCTTTTTTGCAAGGAATCTTCCTGTCATTAGCCTTTGATACTGACAACTGTGTTGCCAAAACCAGTGACACACTCTTTGTACTGTAGCTCTGAAGAGGTGCCATTTTTCTCATGTGACATAACATGTACCTTCCCAGGAAAATCCGTCTTTATGGCTTTAAGGGCCTCGCATTGGCTCATCGCTGTAGTCGAGTCCATCACGAGTCATTCAGTCCTCAGCCAATTCACAAGCTTATCAAATGCATTGTGACAAAAAGTATTCCTTTGTCAATGTTCACCCTGTTACTTATGACTGGCCTTGTGAAGGGACTTGTGACTGGCCCTGTGAAGGGACTTGTGACTGGCCTTGTGACTGGCTTTGTGAATGGACTGGTGACTGGCCCTGTGAAGGGACTTGTGACTGGCCTTGTGAAGGGACTTGTGACTGGACTCAATAGCAGCACTGCATTCACCTAAACTGTTGTTTGTTGGATGTGGACCTGACCAGAAAATTCTGGCAGCCTTTTGGGTAGTAGCAAGAATCCAACATGGCTTCCACACCAGCCAATAAGATTGGGTATTAGAGGAAAACACCTGTAGTCATTGTGTGGCCCATCTTAAAAATTTTAACCCTGAGGTCAGGACGTCAGTGAATGGCATCACATTTGTTTCTTCAGCATGGAACTGTAACCGTCAGAGACCAATAAAATTTATTACCAGATGTATTCATTTTGCGCAGAGCTCAATCGCTACGTTTCTTGCCGTTATCTTCACCTTTCCAGATACCAACGAGTGCAGCCCGCCAACAGGCAATCCTTGCAGAAATGGAGGTACCTGTGTCAACTTGTTCAACTCTTACCAATGCGTCTGTGCGCCTGGATACACCGGCATTAACTGTGAACAAGGTGAGGGAAGTGTAATGCATGGCCAAACACCATTGGTCTTAATTTACATGTTGGCCATCTTGATTTGAAAGAGAAAAAATCCCTGCACAGTATGTTGGAAAAAAGATGATGCTTATCGATGACCATCCTTGTGCTCCATTGAGTGCTGTAAGTTCAAATCATTGATAAAATGTCATATAATCCCCCTTTAGCATTCAAGTGAAAAGTATTTTTCAATTGGAAAGTATTTGTCAATTGGACATCTATCTGCTCCTCAGATATGCTTTCTAGAATTCTGTAAATTCGTGGCAGACAAAATAATGTGTTCTTCAAGATAAAATTAGTCAAGTTTTCTACAACAAGCGAGTTACAGAAACCCACTCGTATTTTATTGGCATTGTAAATAACTAAAGCTTTTGAAAAAGTTGCTGTTGAATACCTTGATTTTCTTTGTGAATCTCTCTCTACAATTATTAGCTGCTTTTCTCTATTTTTCTTGCTTTTATTTGTTTTTGTTCCTTGAGATTTTCATATGATAATCATGTTTGGCATTTTGGCTATTATACTCACCCATGGACTGGGGAATCTACCAGTGTTCTGCTGTAATGCACCATTGCACTGTATGTCTTGAAATCCACAGCATTCAATGTGTGTAACATTGTGGTGCTGTAAGGATCAGTGGCACATTTTGTAAACTTTTATTTTGTGGAGACATGTTTTACAACCTTTCCCAAAGATGTATAATTGTGAATACAGGAATTTTGTATACTAGACAGTCACACTTGTTGGTTGATACACTCATGGGGTATACCAGCTGAAGACCGACACCTGTACATGGAACCTTGATACAGTGTGTGTGAGATTCAGACATACTGACTGAGCAACTTTTGTGTCAATTTCACCCTCCTTTGACCAGCTTGTGTGACTGAAAGTGCCATCTTGACGAAAATTCTCTCTCCAAACCAAACATGGTGGGAACTGTTTGTAATGCCATTACCTGGAAAACTGCACGGTGCCTGAAGTTTTTAACTTATGTTACTGCAGATATCAATGAGTGTTCCAGCAATCCCTGTCTGAATAACGGCGCTTGCAGCAACCTGGTCAATGGCTACAGCTGTACCTGCGCACCTGGCTACTCAGGAAACAACTGCCAACTCCGTATGTGTCCTTCCAGAATTTCCCCATATCCGTTCACAAAGTAGCGAGTCAGTTTTTTAACGAAAGCAAGTCTCCGGTCTTTTTTTTTGTCAAGACTAAAGTTCTGTTTAACACATCACTGTACTTCAACAGGTTTTGTGTAATGCTTTTCAAAAAATCTCTGCCGTGTATTCACTATTTTTTTTCCAGTTAAAGATTTCTGATGATAAACCTTGGTGTCATGGAAACAAACTTTAGTTTTGCACATAATAAATCAGAATTTTTGTTGGTGTATTTTTCTTGTGCTTATTTTCACACAAAATGATGATATCATGTTAGTCACGTTCATTCATGTCGGGCCAAGTCGCTTATCGTTTTCTGATCAATTTAATTTAAAGGTTGCTTTCTCTGTAAGTCTTATTTTAAAAATGTGACTGGAGTCCAGTGTACAACTACGCCCTATAGTGTAGTTCGACCACCAGAATTAGAATCCATTACTACGGTGGCACAACGCTCGAGGACAGATGGTACGCGCCCGTTACATGCCTCAGGGTGTCGTGATTTGCCGAATGCACGCGCGCATCAAGCTGAAGAATGTGCGTGTGAGTGCGGTGCCACTGCAGTTAGGTGTCTAATTGGATTAGTCTGTAGTCAGAAATACTGACGTCCCGTCTTTTTGTTTTGGTTGTTGCAGAGGACAACCCGTGCCTCAACGCACCGTGCGTCAATGGAGGCACGTGTGTTAATCGTATCAGCTATTACACTTGCAGCTGTCTACCAGGCTTCCAGGGTAGCAACTGCCAGAATGGTATGTGCACCGTAACGTTTGCAGTGCTGTCAACCCTTAAGGAGCTTTAGAGAGCGGAAATATTGTTGCAGTGCGTTTCTTTCACCACTCTGAGCCTTGAGGAGTTTTTCCAGGAATGTCTCGGAATCATATTGATACCAGTCATGCAAAAATCAGGAAATAATCATTTTTCTGAGAGGTCAGCCAAAATTACCAACTTTTCCCATCAGTATGCACGGCGCACGCAAGCAGCGAGTGATTGTAACAAAACCCTGTGGTGGACTAAACTGAAAATGGACAGATGCACTTTATACAGTGAATGTCTTTTACATGCCTGCCAAGTGAAAAAGATCGGACATATGAACGCCCAAGTCAGGGGATCGGGAGAGTCTGCTCCAACAGCATTATGCAAGTTGCCACTGCAGAGTAATTCTGCATCTACATATATACATGTAGTCTATCCGGTTCGTAAGTGTGACGTCACTTCAGTTTAAACCACGCCCACTGCACATGCACAGCAGATAGAGTTACGTGCATTGATCGCCATTTACATGGAACTATGGAACCGGAAGTTAATGTCCAACTTCATTGATCGTCCAGTGGGGGACTGCAAATCATGGCACATCTTCCTTTGTGACAAAGTCACTTACGAACCGGATAGTATATGTGAAGTGGCTACTCAGAAAACACTGGTTTGGAAACTTCCAAGGTCCGGTGATGACACACCAAACTACCGTGGCCTTTTTTATGAACTATCCTAGAGATCTCCAAATCCCAAAAAACTAGGGGCATCAAGCTTATGTGTGACTCACTCTGCAAAAAAGGTATGTCTGTATGTATACAGACCATGCCGTACATCTGCCAGAGATCAATTCAAAATTTTACTGTATTTCAGGAATAGAATCTGCAACAGAGGTCAAAAATACACAGATTTAATCCTTATTAAATGCCTCTCTATCCGTGGGCATCACGTAAAATCAATTTGTCACACATAAGCCCAGGGGCCTTTTTTTACTTAGAGCCAGTCACATGTCAAGTAACAGTTGCCAGCTGCCTGCCTTCCTCAATCCTATCAAATCTCCTAGTGGCTTCTGAAAGTCAGTGAAGGAAGCGTGCCCTCCTTTGCATTACATGCCTTGGGTTGTTATTCATAGTATTTATTGGTCTCCCTTTTCCCTCACTCCTACAGACACTGATGAGTGCATTGGCAATCCGTGTCAGAACGGCGGTACTTGTAATAACCTAAGGGGTGCCTACTCCTGTACTTGTGTGTCTGGCTGGGAGGGTAGCAACTGCCAAGTCAGTAAGTTCCAACTCTGCAGCCTTTTTGAACAGAATATCCTGGCGAGTATTTGCCACGATTCTTTCTGATTTCTCCCAAATCTGACACTCTGCCATAAACCAGTGGCACATGAGCCAGGTCTACAGTTTGAATTGTCAAGCTCATCCTGGAACAAAGCCCCTGATTTCATGGTTACTCGTTACTCAATGTGAGATATTTTGTGGCCACCCTGATTGGGCCAACTCATGCATATTGAATTTCTCAAAGGACCTTCACCATGCTACATTTTGCTGTTAATTACCCAAGTGACTCATTCTTTGAATGTCTAGAAGAAAGGCGGCATTAAACCAGATGGATGATGAGGTTATGGTCAACCATATGTAGGTCTTGAATTGGATTCACAACAAAGTATTTCTCAAATGTAAAACAACTATTTTGTCAATTCGGCAAAAATTAATGAGTCCCTAAATCGTCTAGAATTGAGTTCAGTATATATGAGGGTGTTGGCATGAAAACAGACTCTGTACAGTGGAACATTGCTAGGATGAACCCACTGTGTAGACATAACATGTATAGTGCCATTCTGCTGCATTAATCTTATCTTATTAACCCTAACCCCCTAGGGTGTATGTAAAATCGTATTGCAATTGGAGGATTTGGGACTGTTAGGGTTAATCGTTACTCAGATACAGACGAGTGCGCCAGCGGGCCGTGCCTGAACGGCGGCTTCTGCACCGACCTGGTCAATCGCTACACCTGCACTTGCCCTCAGCAGTACACAGGGCAAAGGTGCGAGACAGAGCTGGACGCCTGCCATAACGACCCCTGCCGCAACCAGGGCACCTGCCTCAATTTCTACACCTACTACCGTTGCACCTGCCCGCCCGGCTGGATCGGGGACGACTGCGGCATCGGTGAGTTACAGTACCACAGAGTCTGGGGCCATATTGCATAGTGATTCAGTTGAAACCATCACAAGACCAGACACAAGACCATGTGGTAGTGTGAGGGGGGGGTCAGTGGCTCAATCTGTAGAGTTGCATTGCAGCCCCAAGTGTTCAGAATATGATAGAATTAGTATCCAGCATACAAGGGAGTACCCATCGTTGTGGCCAAATTGTATTCGATGAAATCCTTTAAATTTTATTTCGAGTTCTAATTAAACATCAAAGTTGTTATTAAACAAAGAAAACTCTTCCATTTTTGTTCCCCCGTCTGCTACTTTTTTACCCCTCAGTGTGTAAGTATTGTCACCGTGCACGGCTTGTCCACGTTGCATTTCTGGATTCCACAGATTTTTGTTTGCACTTGCAATGTTTCTCCTGTCTGCTGCGGCCTGCCCTCCCTACTTTGTGTTGCAGTGTTTTATTGTGTGTTTTCCAGCAACCTGCTTGTTGTAAACCCTGGGAGAAACTCTTGACAAAAACCATTCATTCTCATTAGCCGATGGCCTGTCTCGTGATTCCACTTGAGTCTTTACTGTGTTTCTGTTTCACTGCGTATTGTATGAGGAAAGAATTTGACTGCTGCCAACTTACAAAAGACTTGTCACACCCATAGTACATGCAGCTCCAATTCCAGTTTAGTAGCAGAGCTATACTTATACAAATGGTTGCTTTTGAGGATTTATCACATGGATAAAATGTTTGAGCATGATCAAAATATGGTGGGTACCAGGCAGGACAAGGATTTGAAGACAGGTGTTTTAAACATCTGGTTGATTGTAAACATGGCCATGTTTTACATTCAGCATTCGTGATACCTTGTGTCTCTTTTTCAACTGAACGAGTTCGAGAATCATAGTACGGATTATAGCTTCATGGCACAATGCACTGTGTTCTTTCAAAAATCAGAGGTTAAATGCCTGTGATGGTGAAACATCCTGACTAACCCTGACTACAAACAATAATTGAACCACAGACATACAGAATATGAAATTTGCTGTTAGTCAAGTGTAAGTCCAGTTTGTCTGCAAATTATTTCGGGAATCATGCCTTTTTCTCTTTTTCAAAAGTCAATGCTTCAAAGTCTGTTCCGTTGTCAGATTGTCATGTGTACATGTATGTTGGTCTGCATGAAAGCGGTAATTAAGTTCGCATGTTGAAATTGTAGCCTTTATGTTGTGTTGAAATTGTAGCCTTTATGTTGTGTTGAAATTGTAGCCTTTTTGTTGTGTTGAAATTTTAGCCTTTATGTTGTGTTGAAATTGTAGCCTTTTTGTTATGTTGAAATTTTAGCCTTTATGTTGTGTTGAAATTTTAGCCTTTATGTTGTGTTGAAATTTTAGCCTTTACATTGAGAAAACGAGTAGTACCTCTTTAGTATGTCAACAAGCATCCAGAATAGTTTCATCCTACGCTAATCACCGATAGTGAAGCATACCAACCAGAAGACACATCTTGTGAACACCATTAACCTTTCAAGATGTGCTTTGTCTTAACGATCTTCCTGTTGACGATTTCCTCCCCTCCTCCAGCGACTGATGAGTGTGCACTGAGTCCCTGTGCCAATGGAGGCACCTGCATTGACCTTCAGGCAGACTACCTGTGTGCTTGCCTGCCTGGCTACACTGGCAGAAATTGCAATGAGAGTAAGTCAGACTACAGACCAGTCCACATTGCTAAATGTGCTTACAGCAAAAACAGCTGGGAACCAGTTGAGAGAAAAATAACGTGTGAAATTTTGGCCAGTAACCCTATCTATGCTGAGCAAGTATTTTCTTTGTTTACAAAATTTATAATATGAGTTCTATGAATGTCAATATGCATAAAGGCAGGCCACACCCTGAGGGATTCAGGTTTTCCATTGGTTGCTTTTTCCACCCTTGTAGCCTGATTGGACAAGTGCACATAAGTATTTAATCATTTGACCTACATGATAACATGGTGTCTTTGTTTCAAATCCAGCAAGGTTTGCACCTTCAGGCCAACATGCTTGCATCTTTTTCAATTAAAGTTCCAGTAGCCAAGAAGGATACTTTCTGTTTTAAGAAAAAAAAAATTCTCTCAGATGCTCAAAGGAATGGTAGCTCTTTTCATCGGTGAACAGTTCTCATGCGTAGGTAAAATTCATGTTCCCCAAGATGTCTTTATTGACACATCCGAAAAATTCTGCCTATGAATTGATGCATGCACTTCTGTTTATTGGCATACGGCCTTGGCATGATTTTAAAGGTGAAGAGTTATGACAATTCATCCTCTGTTCTTTTCAGACATTAATGATTGCCTGACGACACCCTGTTTGAATGGAGGGGCATGCGTGGATGGCATCAATACCGTGACCTGTAACTGCCATCCAGGTTTCACCGGAACCTTCTGTGAAACAAGTGAGGAACAAGCTAAGCTCTATTGTATCCATAGAAATGACCCACAGAATACCACGTCACCAATACGTCCTTTGCCAGTGCAATATTGGTAACGGTTAATTAACAATGACATTATCTGCAAGAGCCTCTTTATCAAAATGTGTTCGTGTTGGTGTTTTACTGCGCATAAGCAATGAAAAAGGGATAGCGGGGAAGAGATGTTAAACATGTACATTGAGGCCTGTTGTCTATTCAAACACTTGGTGGACCACTTTGGTCTGAGTTAATGTTCTTCACTGTGTGTAAGAATTGTACAGAAAGTTTACTAGAAAGGAGATGAAAATGGAAGACTCCTAAGAATGTTAAATTCTGGTTTGAAAATCATGTGTTACCGATAGGTAGCACCAAAGGTCTATGTGGATGTAAATTGAAAGACTTACATATTTGTTGCCAGAAAAGTAACCTATTCAAAATGCCTTTGCCTCTAACAGCTAGTCCAGTCATTGCATATGAAATCCTTACAAACCCAAAATGTTATGTGCCAGACTTCAGAAATTGAGAATAAGTGCACGGTTTCCCTTTCTGTGCAACATTCTGCAGATATCAATGAGTGCTTGAGTTTCCCTTGTCAGAATGGTGGCTCCTGCGTAGACAGTGTCAACAGGTACACATGCAACTGTGCCGTCAAGTGGACTGGCGTCAACTGTGAGACAAGTAAGTGGGTCGGCGGGGATTGTTAAATCCGCCCCGAGCTGAAGTGCACCCCCAATCGGCGAAAGAAAGACAGGTGGTTACAGGCGGGTTCTTGCACGTGTTCTGTGTGTACGCAAAGACCATTCAAGCTGGAATAAATTAGTTCAGCGTACTTAGCGTGCTCCGCGTCAAAAGCACATAAACTTGTGCTCCTCATGGCGTGCCTATGCGGTGAGTACCAAAACAAACACGCCCTCTTTTGTTCTGCTCGGAGCAGATAGATCAAGACATCAGAGACAGCATCACATGATGAATAGAGGGGCGGAGTTAGTGATTTGAAAGGGGGAGTGAGGGAAAATAAGTCTTTCTGTGAATTTTTATTTCTTTCCTTTATATCTTTAGTTCATTTGGCAGTGAAATAAAGGAACCAAGAATTACAATGACACAACATCAAATCGTTTAAGAAATGAAAAAGCAAAAGTGAAAAGGCAAAAATAAAATCAATAATATAATGAGCCAATGTCTTATTTTCAGTAGAGTCCAGAGCACGACGGCAGCCACTAAACAAGGCTTTTGATGTCTTTTAAAATATTTCACCCTTCTGCGTGGTTACAAACCGATTAATTATGCGCGGCTTTCTTTCCAGATTCCACTGTGAAAAAGTACAATGTCGTTTGAATAGATTCAACAAATTAAATCTTGAGAGCACTTTACACAGGTGGAGAGTTTTTTCTTTACTTTTTTGGGTTAAAAAAATCTTCCATATATGTACATCCCAAACAAACATAACAAGTAGTGGTGATATTTTCAAACTGATACTCTTGTTGGTTATGGAGAGAAGATTCATTATTTAATTAAGTAGGAGGTTTCTTAGCCCTTAATAGCATCCCTCGATTAATATCGCTTGACTATTTTATATAAACTGCAGACAACGTTGCTTTACTGTACAACAGACTTTAATAGGCAGGATGCATTTATCAAAGTCTCACATGTTCAGTGGAGATTTTTCCTTCGGCTGCGTGTAATATTTTGCTGGTCATTTGTGTTTCCACCTGCAGGCCTGAATGAGTGCAGAAGCAATCCCTGCTTCAACGGTGGTACCTGCTTCGACTTGCAAGATTCCTTCAGCTGTCGCTGCACACCTGGCTGGACCGGTAACATCTGTAATGAAGGTAAGCTTGCTCAGATCTACTGGCTGTGGCTAGGATTAACACAGGAGTATATGGGGAGTGGCAGTAGCCCACAAGCCGGCCGTTTTCATTGGTGCACACGTGATTCCAAGCCGTGAACGTATTAAAGCTTTGGATGCAACCTGACATATGTTGGAGTCACGTCGGCATAGTGGCTTCTTTCTTGCCTTTCACCTCTGCGGGCAGGGTTGGCTCTTCCCTTGGTCGGCATGTAGATAAGGTTTTTCAGTCCCTACCTGATTCCATAGGTTAGTTATGGATAACATTTATCCGGGTTTCTCCTTCCATCTCTGAAACCTGAATATTTCTTCATTGTCATCTTGAATGTGAGGCTCCAAATCATCAGCGTTCACTGGATGAGTTACTCTCGCCAAACACTGTTCCAATAAAAAAATAAATTAGAAATAAGTCTGGAATCTGAGACAGATAGCACGGAGGAAAATGATGTGTCCCATTATCAAAGAGACCTCAATTGGCAGTGAGTGTTCAGATGGGAGAACCATGTTGTTTGTTTAATGGCTTGGTTGCTCTGCGAGGATTGATCATATGCGACCTCACTTAGAGCATGCTAGACCCATGTTGGTTGAGAGTAAATCATAAAGAAACATGTTGGTTTCGACATAATTAGGGTTAAAAAGTCCAGGAATCATTTCTGCTCATGGAAAAGTAGGGGCATGTTTTATCAAGCCGAAAGCCTGATGGACTGAATAAGGGATAACTTGCTGGAAAGAGGGTGCTACATCAATACTTGGAAATAAGAGTTTATTTCAGCCGAACAATAATGCAACAATTTTTGAAAGAGAACATGCTGTGCGTACGTACATTACCTCCATCATTTTATATTCAAAGTCCGTTTTCATTCTTGCTACAAACAATTTGTGCAACACTTCTAACGAGCAATCCATCAAATCATGTCTTCTGTGACCGTTTTGCTACCCAAACAGATTTTGATGAATGCCAAAGTTTACCCTGTCAGAACGGCGGAACTTGCGTCAACCAGCTCAACTCTTACACCTGCCAGTGCGCCTCTGGCTGGACAGGAACGACCTGCGAAGGGAGTGAGTATATTTGTGTGGGACCCTGTGTCACAAGTACACCTCCCCTGCCTTGGTGACAGAGAGACGGCTTGGGCCAACGGTTGAACTCCATTGACATTACATTCCATCATGTTCGCCTGTTCCGTTTCCCCCCGTGGGTCTGCCTTCAACTATAGGGGAATAGATGCATACGCTGTGCAGTTATCTCTGTCCATGATTGCAGGGACTTTGTACCTGCTGGCCAACTTGACCAGCTGTGGGGGCGCACCATAGTCCCCATCTGAACCGTTCCCTACAACTGATTTGATTAGGACCACTGCATGCATTTTTCACACAGTGTGAGATGCCACTGACTTTTTGAAGAATACGTGGATTTGAACCAAACTGAGAAACTGTCACTGAACAATAGAAAAAAAATCCTGAGAAAGTAATTCTGCCTTGATATTGTTGAAACCAGGGATAACGTTCACTCTCCACAGTTTTTCATGAATCTTTTTGCAAGTGGAAAAGGACAAGATAGGTTGAGTTTTGTCTGTGAAAGTCTAATGAATTTTTTTTTCAATTTTTGTTATCTGGGTTGACTTCTAGGAGCAAAACCCGCTAAAAGCTTTTCGGAGACGTACATTTATCTCAAGTATTTTCTTGTGAATGTGTTGCTTCTGTGTAGACATCAATGAGTGCATCAGCAGCCCATGTAGGAATGGCGGAACCTGTGCAGATCAGATCAATGGCTACACCTGTAACTGTGATGCTGCCTGGACTGGTACCCTGTGTGAAGTCAGTAAGTAACAGGAAGTCTCTGGAAAGAATTTGCCTGGATTTTACATTCATGACTTTGTAGGTTCTGTGTGTCACAGTCGAGTTCATCATCAGTCCTAACTCCCCGTGGGCTTCAAAAGTCGTGTAGTAAACCGCCCATAATCAGCAGGGTGAACAATGGCGCAAGGAATGCGTTTGTCACAGTTCACTTGAATAGCTTGTGACTTAAGACTGGACTGGATGACTTGTGTTGGACTAGCAGGGACTTTTGATGGGCCCTGTCACTGGTGGAACCTGCTATCTCATTGTACATTTAGTTGAAATGACTTGTAGGCAGACTTGATGGTCCAAGGTATCTGTTGTTACTCAACCTTTATGTATATTCCATCTCAATAGTCCACGTTTACATTCAACCTTTATATGTCACCTTTATGTCATACCTTTATATTCCACCGTTATATTCTGCCTTTATATTTTACCTTGATTTTCCCCCTTTTAAATTCTACCATTATATTCTACCTTTACATTCCACTTTTATATTCTACCTTTATAGTCTACCCTTATAGTCAACTTTTATATTCTACCTGTATATTCCACTGTTATATTCTACCTTTATATTCCACCAACAGATTTTGATGAATGTGCCAGCAACCCTTGCCTTAATGGAGCAACATGCCAGGATGGGATTGGCAGTTACTCTTGTCGATGTGCTCAAGGCTTCACAGGGATCCGCTGTGAAATAAGTGAGTGAGGGCATTCCTACATTTCATGCAGTGTCGTCTGAAGTTCCCTTCTTGCTATACATGTTCGTGTACATTTAGTATAAAAACAGGTTGCGTCTGCGGTGTTCACCACTCAGTCTCTAAGCTATAGATATTGATAGGTACCCTAAATTGTGCTGTATGATTTGTTTTGCATTGTCTCTGTAGACATTGATGAGTGCAGGAGTAACCCTTGTATCAACGGAGATTGCACTGATCTGGCCAATGGTTTCAACTGTACATGCAGACCTGGCTGGACTGGTACCCAGTGTAACATAGGTAGGTTACTGACTGGAAACTTTTAGTGCTGAGATCAGGAGTACCGTTACACCCCTATCTGTCCTTTGTAACCCATACTGGCTTCTTGTTCACAGTACATGCAAACATGTTATTTCTTTCTCTGTAGATATTAATGAGTGCGCCCCAGTCAACCCCTGCCAGAACAACGGCATTTGCAACAACCAAGAGGCGACCTTCGTCTGTCGCTGTCAATTCGGCTGGACCGGGAAGCTGTGTGAAATTGGTAAGTGACCTAACCACTGACCTTTGACCCTCATTGACAGTGCAGGAATTAGGCCATGTCCAAGTCATGTGTTCAGACTTTGATCTAGGTTGCAGATATGTGGGCTTACAAACGAGTCAAGTGAACTTTCACTGGGCATTCCAGTATGGCCCCCCTTGATGGTAGCAATCATTGTGTTGGATTTTGTACAGAGTGACTTCATAGTTATCTTCAATGCTTCTGCCATTGGTGGGGGCCACTGGAGATGGCCAGTGATAGTGTTAGTATGGTCACGGGACATCACCACAGCTCTGGAAGCCTGTTGCAGAGATGGCCCCCTTACTGTTGGTGTTTTGGTTCAACTGAATTATTACAGTTAAAACTCACATTTTTTTAAAAGAGGTTTTCACGATATTATCCAGTACATTCAGCCGTAGGAATGGCGGATATCAAAGACGAAAAGATTAATATCTGTTTGTTTGGCTTCTGTTCCCTGCAGATGTCGACGAGTGTGCTAATGATCCCTGCTTGAATGGAGGAACCTGCCAGAACCTGCAGAATTCCTTCCGCTGTGACTGCCCTGCTGGATTCACAGGCTTCACCTGTCAGATCAGTAAGTCCACTTAAGTCATCATGAAACTTAAGTGTAGGTGCACTTAGTACCCTTATATATATTCAAGAGACTGCAACCAATGAATTCTACATGAGTTTGAACACAATATCGTTTGCTCAGATAACACTGAATATATTGAAATCCGTGCCTATAACTACCAATCGCATGGATAACACTGACTTGACAAACTGAAAGAGTGCCATTTCTTATCTGCTTATAGCGTGTATACTTCCCTCCAGTGATGCAGTAACCTGATTCTCGCGCTTCATCCCTACACTTTTTTCATATTGCACTTTTCGTTTCTCAAAACTTTACCTGCTATTTGGCTGGTGGATTTGGTGTTTTTCATAAGAGCTGAAATATGAAGAATGCATCCATGACATACCAGCTGGCTTTAGCTACTTTCAGGATCCCTTGTAAATTGGAGCATTTTTGTTGACCAAAGGTATGCATTTTCAGTCAGGCCATCAATCAGGTTTTTTTTTAAGGGGAGGGTTGGTTGCGGAAAGAAGTTACCTTTTTATGTAATATGTTCCTTTCTGTCTCTACTGATTTCTGATATGGAGTGTCCTTTTGCTCGAATGAAATGCAAAGAGCGTGCTTTAAAGGCAGTGTAATTCATGGAAAGTGCGAGTTGAAACTGTTGAGAGTGTCTGCCCTGGTTCTATGCAGACATCAACGACTGTGCCTCCATACCGTGTCTGAACCGCGGGCGGTGCATCGATGGTATTGAGAATTTCACCTGCCAGTGTTTGGCCGGCTACGACGGCGATCGTTGCCAAAACAGTGAGTTACTTTAAAGGTCCACAGCAGGGCAGTTAGTTGTAAAGAACGATAGAAATATCAAGGGCTCAAGATAGGTGTAGAGTACCACGAGGACGGTGCTAATTCATTCATTCAGAAACGTTACAGAAATTTGTATAAAAAAAACAAATGTATTTGTCATTTTTGTCACTCAAATGAAGTGCATGGCGTGTGTATCCTGTTCATTGTTTGCCTTCCTGCCTTCTTTTTGTCCCGTAAGGAAAGTGCTCCCTTATCAGTTCATAGTTTTTGCACGTTACAATTTCCCGATTGGAGTCATTTGCACAATACGAATAAAGAAAACTGACTCTGACCTTTCTGAGGTGCAACACATGTTTCCTACTCCACCCAAGAATAAAAAACACTCTTTGTGCCACTTCAGTTACCGTGTGTCCCCAGGGCTCAAGTACGAGGCTTCCCAGATCCGAACAGTCCACAATCACGCTATGACTTCGACTTCTCGTGTCTTTCATTTTTAGATGTTGACGAGTGTGCGAGCGGGCCTTGCCAGAACAATGCTCTGTGTGTAGATGGCATCAACTCGTACACGTGCCAGTGCGTTCGTGGCTTCGTCGGTATCCATTGCGAGAACAGTGAGTTTTGATTGGCCATCGTCTGACATTGAAACCTCACAATGAACTGGGTGATTTGAATAGATCCTTTGCTCTTGTTGGACCCATACTGTTCCTGTCAACACAACAGATAAGTTTATAAGCCCAACAAGGCCTAATCTAAAATAGCTTGGTTATACGGCTGTCAGGCTTGTTTTATGCAGGTACTTTTTTGTGGGAATGATTGAATAGATCATTAAACCATTCCTCTTGAGAACTAGTTAAAAATTGAAACCTTGACGAAGGCTTTACCTGCAAGTCAGCCAGACATTCAGCAATTTTCAGGCTTACAACTTTCTAAAAAAAGTCGTTTTTATTATATCAGCGGAAAAAGAACTTTAATGGCCAAGTATTGTACCTTTTTTCATATTCAATACTCACTGTTGATTCAATTCCAAGCCATGGTCTTTCTCATTCCAAACTCATGTTATATTGTATTTGCTGATAGACGTGACTTTTCTGATTACCCACATGCAGATCTTGACAATTGTGGGAACACTAACCCATGTCTGAATGGGGGGACATGCATAGATGGCATAGACAGCTACACCTGCAAGTGTCTACCTGGATGGAGCGGTGACAACTGCCAATTCCGTACGTCTGTTTGTCTTTAATTTCAACCCGCTGCATGTGCATGTATATTGTATGTGTTTGAGTTTTGGAAATGGTGTCAGTTTTCCCAGGGGGCTACTTGTTTCTCTTTTCATGTCAGTTTTTCCAGGGGGCTACTTGTTTCTTTTTTCATGTCAGTTTTCCCAGGGGGCTACTTGTTTCTCTTTTCATGTCAGTTTTTCCAGGGGGTTACTTGTTTCTTTTTTTCATGTCAGTTTTCCCAGTGGGTTACTTGTTGCCTAAGCTCAGTCAGAGAATCTTTCTGTTTTCCCTGAATTAGATGGCACTCCACCACGCTCTCCTCAGCCGGTGCCAATGGCTGTTTGTACTCCAAACAAACAAACCCATGCCTCGACCGCAAGGCCGAACACTCTCATGTTCTTGTCAATTTGTAAACATTTTTACAACCGACGACTTGCGCATAGTATCGGATATTAAAGTCTGTTCATGAGCCAATTGTCCTTTCCAAGGCACAATGTTCCAAGTATGATTATGGGAACTTTTAATAGCATTTCATATTTGATGCAACCTTCAGGTACCTTTTATGCTAGTCCAATCTTGGATTGACTAATCAGGACCTGAGATTACACAACATGCATATGTATGAGTATTAAGCAAACAGAATGCTCCGAAAAAAAAAAAAGAATTCAAAAAATCCTGGCAATGGAGAAAAGAGGGCGCAATTAGCAAGAAAACAGAGGACGTTATCTGCTATGTTAAAATGGCAGCTGTTAGGCATACATGTGCGTATAGCTTCTACTACATAGCTGTTTGTTTTGCTGTGGGCTCGTAAAATGGGTGTTCCCATTTCTGACTTCTCAACTTATGAATATGTAATAATCCCTCCTTACCCTAGGTGGTCAGTGTGTAGCCAACTACACCATCTCAGCGGTCAGTAGCATTAGCATTGCCTCCCCAGAGTTCCCCTCTAACTATCGCAGCAACGACGAGTGCCGTTGGTTCATCTTCGCTGAGCCAGGCAAGCACATTCTGGTGCAGTTCACCGACTTTGCCACCGAGCCGCAGTACGACTACGTCAGCGTTGGTAACGGCTTGAACCCAGCCGACCTGGGCTCGCGGGTTGTCCACTACGCGGGCCTGGATGTGCCACCCGCCTTCCTTACCACCGGCAACGTGATGTGGGCCACGTTCGTCTCGGACCACTCCAAGACGGAGAGGGGTTTCTCCATCAGCTTCACTGAGCAGGATAATCCCGGTAGGTACTCACCTGGGGTCTTCACGTATGGCCGAGCAAGATGTGGCACATTTTGTACACGGTAAAGACATTCCATTGGTTTAACACATTGCACATTCCCACAGTTTTGCGTGCACGTTGGAATGTACTCGTTTTTGTATGTGGCCATCCGCCAGTATCTCTCGTCTTTGTTAGTGAAGGGTTACTTGGCAGGGCTGAGATTTTTCAGGATTTTTCAAACAGACAGTCTCTTTTAAATTTTGGAAAAACCCGAGTTTAGCATTGCTGTGTTTTACTTATTATATACTGATTATTATTTACAGATTATATAGAATACAAGAAATGGGTTTTTAAGGAGTACCCATGGGCAAACATGTTTCTGAGAGGCCCTCAAAACATCTCGTGATTATTTCGTGGATTTTTTAATTTGGTCCGATCTCACCCCTGTGATCAGTTGTAACTCCTGATGGTACCTGATTGATATCAATGGGAAACAAAAAGTAGAGGTGAAACATCATCCATCAATGCCTTAGACAAATAAGTCATTTCTATTGGTTGGGAGCCTGTTACGTGGTTGGTCCACAACCGCATTCCAATCTCCATATAAGGAGATGGTGTACACCTGCTCGCAAGAGGAACATACCATGACATGGCCAGAGGGTAGTTTGAAAAAGAATGAATTAAAATTGTTGAACAGAATTGTTGGGGATTGACAATGTTTTGAACTTTTTTTGACTTCTTGACTCCAACGGTGTTTGTGAATGGAATAAATGTGTGCTTGCCGGCTCAGCGCATATTTATATCCAAGAAACAGTGTTCTTGTACAGTATTTTAAAAATAGATTACAGATATTTACATTTCCCACTCATACAATTATACCAGTCTCAGTTCGGGCCACAGACTGTTCGTATGTTCCTTTATTTTTACTCACTGTTAGCAGTGATAGTACTTTTAATGATTAAAGAAAAGTGCTTATGAAGTACTTGACTGTACAGGTGTCAAGAAAGTGCCAGTAAATCTAGTTTGGTTATGAACCTGTTTAATATACAGATCTAGACAACGAGTGCTTGAGTAATCCTTGCTTGAATGGGGCAACATGCGTCAACAGCGTGGGTAAATACGTCTGCATGTGTCACCGTTACTTCGTAGGGACCAACTGTGAAACTGAGCTGAGTAAGTGCAGAATTTGTGTCAAAATGTCCTTTTTGAAGAATTTGTCTTTTCTTCACCTGACGAGGCCGTCTATTTTGCCTTTTCGAGGCAGTGATTTATTTTGACTTTATACTGTCAGAGAGCAACCAAAATCAAATATGAAAATCATGAAATGCTTAATTTGAGAGATTGAATTATTGGATTCATCACCAAGAAATTTGGGTCTCAATTATTAAAAAACTATTTGCCTGCACTTTTAATACACGAAGGTGTTATTTGATATAAACTTAACTTTTGTATTTAAACTATTTTGTTCTAAAGTGGATGGTTAAAACATTTTGGAAATAGATCAGCCATGTTGTGAGAAAAACAAAAGGAATCTACAATGTATGCATATGATTGAATGGTATTTAAGCTGTTTGAATGCTTCGGATAGCTAATCTAGAATGTTTCCTTTTGTGAATTGATGGCAAGACCATTGACAATTTATGACAACAATCTTCCCTCAATATGTACCAAGGGATTATCTATGTAATATTGTAGTGATAATGTCTTTGAGCAGATTAAAAGTGACACATGTTGTAGCTTCCATTTTTAATATACCTTCTCATTTGGAATAATTTGGAAATTAAGTCCACTAGTGTAACTTGATTGATGTTTGTCACCCACTTGAATTCTCCCCCTCCCACAGAGGAGAATGTATGTTCCTCCAACCCTTGCCCTCCAGAGTCTGCCTGCATACCAACAGACAACGGCTATGTCTGTAATTGTCCAGCAGGCCTGGACGATAGCAGGTGCTCCGTAGCAGGTGAGCTGATTGCTCTTTTGAAAAAAAAAAAACTCCCTCAAGATCTTTCTCGCTGTGTGCATCCATCCGTGATTAAATAAAGCGTGCCGTTTTATTTCTTGTTCTCACAAACCTGCCCAAACCATTTGAAACCACGGTTTTTCAGAAGACATTTTTGTCTAATCCCACAAAGTTTATTTTCTTGTGCTAAATTGCTACCTGTGAGCTAGGACGCACATAATAGATCCATGCTGGCTGTTGTAGACTTGAAGGTTTATACCACATGCCAAGCATACTGTCTCGCCGCCGGGGAACCAGTCGTGAATAGATTACTTCTTCTTGTTGCATCTCGGCTGGTAACCTGGAGCCATAGTTACTGAACTGTATTGAAGGAAACTTGTCTAGCTCAGTAAACTGCTGTAAGTAGCTGAAACGGTTAGCAGCCCAAACATGGAGCGTTATGTAGAGCTTGGAACTGGGTCTCATCCCACCAAAAAGCGGGGCCTGATTGGATGTAGCAAAGACCCTCCCCCTATGCATCACGGTTCCTGGTACGATGCTAGCTACAGTTGATTCTTTGTTTCCTCTCTTGCAGATATCATGCCGAGGACTCCCTGCAGCAGTGCTCCCTGTGCCAACGGTGCCACCTGCCAAGATGTAGGCAGCCTTTATCTCTGCATCTGTGCTTTTGGCTGGACGGGGCTGAACTGCAACATTGGTATGTCTCTTAACATAACCAGTCTGCATATTGAAGTAAAGGTGCTTAGTTTTTGTTGAGAAAACTTCATAAATAACCTGGGAGTCAGGTTGGCTAGTGGTTCTTTCAAATCATGGCTTGGTCCACATGTGGATTGGGTTTTCAGCCCCTACCTGATTCTGTGGGTTTTACCCAGAATATTCCTCTGGGGTTTTCCTCCCACCTCTAAAACTGTAACTGCTTCTCATTGCCTCCTCTGTACAAGTTGGTGTCATATTTCCACAGGAAGCTTTGCCAACTTTAGGGTACAGATGGATAGATAGATGGCTACAAAAAAAACCTTTGACATTTGACACCGGAAGGCATTATTGAAGATGTATGACAGGTTTTAAATAGTTTGTTTATATGTTTGGTTTTTCCCCTAGCACAACAGTAACCTTTTTCCTGAGATTTTTTTGTGTGTACCAAGTCTGATAATTTAAATTCCATTTTGTTCCTTTTTTGATGAAGTCGCTAGCATAACAGAAGTTAAAGAAAGAGAAATGCTCTGTTGTTTCTCTAGCTGACATTTGCGTACAGTATCAGAAAGCAAATTCTTGCATTAAACCAGTGAAGGATAATGAAGCATTTACCTCTTTGGACTGTAGATATTGACGAATGTACCAGCAACCCATGCCGTAACGGGGGAACCTGTGTCAATGAAGTGGCTCGCTTTACGTGCAGCTGTATGCCAGATTTCACCGGTTTTCAGTGCGAGACAGGTACATTTATACCATTTGCATTCTGACAAACACAAGTATCATGTTGTTAAGAGTTGATATTTTGTCAATTTTTTTCTTGAAAATTTCTCTGAACCACCAACTTTGCCTTGTATTGACTTTCCTCACAAGGTACTAGATCTACGGATATATTGACACCAGACACAAGTGTGATTTCTTGTTGCTTTCAATCTCCAACTCCTGTGTAAAAATTCAAGTTTTTTTTGCTCACGTAGACACAGTGCCCAAGATATTTTACAGGCATCCCCAAGGAGCGCGTTGCCTCCCCACTTGCTGCATTCCACTTTTTCAAGAATCTTGCAGAGAGTGAGATTTGTCTGGAATGTTCACGATTTGGGGATTTTTCTCTCTCAGGATTGTTATGATTTCAGGACTTTTCAAAGAATCTCTTTTAAATCCGGAAAATTCTTGGTTTACTATTCAGTGCTTTTATGTTTGATGGTTGATATAGAGCTCAAGAAAGGGGTATTTTAAAGGCTGCCATTTGGTAAACACAAATGTATATTCCATGGACTCTGGTGATTATTTCAAGGATAATTCATTTCTCTCTGATCTCATCCCTGCTTTTGAATGGGTGGTTTCTGATTAACCTGTTTGATGTCTACTACCTTATAGATATCTCCAGAGATTTGTGTAACCCCAACCCATGTCAGCAAGGTGGCACATGTGTCTTCACCAACGACCAATACAAATGCCTGTGTGTGGGCGGTTACATCGGAGCCAACTGTGAACTAGGTAAAAAAAGTGTGTCGTACATTAAAAAGTACAGGGGAACATTGCGAGGAGTGGAACAGACAGGCTAGTAGTAGGCGAGAAAATTAGATTTGGTTTTCCTGGCAGTGCATCAATTGTGCTCCAGTTGCCACGTTTGGACTGCATGTGTAAAGTCTGCACGTAGCGACATGTCCCGAAAGTAAATAACTGAGAAAAGGCCTCTGTTCCAGAAGTCATGAAAGTGATAAATGTCACTTCTTTTTCCATTCACACTCATTGCATCATTTGTGTGCATTTTTTCTAAAACAACAGAAGTAGGCATATTAAAGGATATGTGTAGTTTCTCCCGCACAGCCAATGTGTAGTAATGTTTAACTTTGCCTGATTGTCTGAAGAACTTTATTTTGTCAAATATTTGTTCCTTCAACTTGGATGTATCAGTTGTCTGTTAAAAAGAAGAAACACCAAAAATAGACTGACCAAAGCAAAAGAAAGTAGTAGTTCTGCCAAGTTTCTTTGTTCTCAAACATCTGTGGTTCTCAAACTTCAAAAAGATTTGACAGAGCAAAAGAAAGGCAAAATTCTGCCAAGTTCTCTGTACTCAAAATGCCGCAATACCAAAACTTCTGCCAAAGATGGCATCACTGATATCTTCCTGAAAATGGAAATTTGTTGAATTTGCAAGAAGTGAAAGAAGAAGTGTGAAATCGCCCTTTGAGGAGCAAAGTGAATTGAAGATGTACAGGTGAACTTTACTCTGCATTTCAAGAAGCATAAACATAAAGAGTTTGTTTTCGTTGGCTTATGAAACAAAAGTAGCATCAGAGAATGTTAGTTTTATCCCTTACAAGCATTTTCTGGCGTCTGATTTCCACAGAGCTTGATGAGTGTCGTAGTAATCCTTGCCTCAACGGCTACTCGTGTGAAAATGTGCTGAATGCGTACCGATGTGACTGTCCCCCAGAGATGGGACCACAGTGTCGTGGAGGTAAGCCATCGAACCCAATCTGTGAAAGGAATGAGAAGATTGCATAAGTTGTTTTAAACGGTGAGCCAATGAGCACATTTTTTTAAATCTCCAACCCTACATGGTGACATGCTGTTGCGGTCACACCATCTGAAGCCTGCTGAATCTACTTAGGGCTGTGAATTGCAAGACAATTCATTTCCTCTTTGTGGTGATTTCATGGTGGATTTTTATATTTTTTCCTCTACGTGTTAGCCTCAGCATGTACCTCTCAGCCATGTAAGAACCAAGGGAGGTGTGTTGAGACCGTGGATGGCGAATACCGTTGCAGCTGCCCTGAGGGATGGACGGGTGTGGATTGCTCACGTGGTAGGTCATCAACCATTTCCTCCCCTTGTCAACCTCTGCCCTTCCATCAAAAAATAAGCTAGATAGAGGGGGGGACCACTATTAAAAGACACAGATCAATGGACCTGTACATCGCATGGTGAGAAGCATGGATCATCTATTAAGTGGCTGATGCCTGATGGTCTCACAACTGGGTACCCCTTCCCTCACCTTGAAAATCGTTTGGCAGCCGTTGCCTCCAGGAACTCTCAGAGGATTTTGCCGTATTACAGAAACTGCAGTTATATGTATGGGGTTTGATGCTCCTAGAATGTAGATAAAAATGTCACTCATTTGCTCCAGAAGGAAGGATTATGCATATTGGGGCAAGAGAAAGACCTGGGGGCTGGTTACCATGGAGATCTTTCCTGTTCCAGAATTGCTCACCCCACTGTCAATTCTGTAGCCTGTAACTCAAACACCATCTTTCTTTCACATCCTTTAGTTCTAGATGCTACGCTGGTGTGTCAGACTAATGTGTGCAACAACGCTGGCATCTGCATCAAGGACAATGGCATTATTGTGTGTTCCTGCCCTGAAGGGTACACAGGGGAGCGCTGTGAGACAGGTGCATCCAAAGCAGTTTAGTTTGGAAGATCAAGAATAGTCATAACAAGCAGTGTACACAAACATGATGTGTGTTAAGGCAAATGGGCGCAAAATGAACCCAGTGCAGAAGTGGTTAACCAGGAAATGGAAAGTGGTTGTCAAATCAGTCCACACCTGCTACAAGTTTTAAGGAGAAATCACTCTTCCATTTCAGAACATGTAGTGTGTTAGTTTATTCTTTCTTGTGTGAAGTTCTGAATTTAGTCAGAGAAGTTTGTTTTTTCATATGTATTTTTCATCTTCACCTGATTTGCGACAATGTGACACAACCAGTTTCCCATTCTGTGAATGCTTTCATATAATGCTTGTTCTTTGCTTTTTTTGTTTCTGGTCTTGGTCCACCAGAATTGGACAATCCCTGCTTTGCTCACAAGTGCGACAGTGGGACTTGTGTGAAAGTCTCTTCCAGGAACTATACCTGTTCCTGTCAAGATGGCTACACAGGAGAATACTGCCATCTGGGTAAGGTGTCAAAGTGACACTCTTTACAAGGAAGATTGAGGGCTCTTCAAGGGCCTAGGGCCTATATGCAGTGGCATTATTTAACTGCAACTCTTGAAATTTTACCCTTGTGTTTCATACTTATGCATATGTCCATATTCATGAGCAAAGCTGTGATGTCAAAGTAGGGAGAAAACATCAATGCTATATTGATTGGTGGAAACAATCTGTGGGAATTTTGGATACTTTGCTGTTCTAAAGCCAATGAGCAGCCCTTTCTAAGAATGTTGGAAAGATAAACAAATATGAATAGTGTCTTCCCAAGTGACATCATGACAAAACCGCCCTCAGTTGTCCAGAAATGCTTGGACAGTTTTGACTATTTGAAAAGGTTGACTTTTCATTGCACTTAACGTCAAAAAATGCCAAGTAATGTTCATACATTGAAGAAGAGTTTAAAAGTGCATGAAAATGTGTCTGTAAAAGACGTTCTTTTCTTATTCAGAGTTGGAGAAAAGTAGCGTGTCAGTCATATGAGTTGAAAAGTTTACTTCTGTATATTTGCAGTCTCATTTTTCCTGTATTATTTATTTTTATTTTCATTGTATATCCAGAGATCGATGAGTGTAGCAGCAACCCTTGTCGCAATGGAGGTGTCTGTCAAGACCTGTTCAATAGCTTCAGTTGCACCTGTCCAGACAACTTCATTGGAACAGAGTGTGAACAAAGTAAGAAAAACTTCAATAGTTTGGTACATTATGGTTGATTTACTCTTTCAAAAGAAGGAATAGTGGTGTGGGTAGGTGTCTCTTGGCACCGTTTTTAGTTTGATGAAGGATTGCGTTATTTAAATTTGCATAAATAACCTCTGTGCTGGGAGCAATTAATGAGGCATGATTTACTGAAAGTAAAGTTCTGCATTTCCATGGATTTTGTTACACGGCACAAAGTCTCTGGTCTCCAAGTTGGACGTAAAATTAAGTCATAAGTTGGGAGGGGTTGGGTTTCATGTGACAGCATTGTTCAATTGCACATGTGCAGTGGCAGCTGTGTCAAATTTAACACATCTACGGCCTCTGTACAGATCTAGAAGAAATATCATTACAATAACTCCAAAGAATTCCTGAAATTAGTTCTCCAAAGAGATTTTCTGCTCGTGAAAATGAGGAAAAACACCAACTGTATTACCATTACGCGATTAAAATAGTTTGTCGTCAAGCTCATCAGAAGTAAAGTTGCAAATAGCTAGGTGATATTAAAAGAAACAATTTTGTCAGTCAATTTGACTAGCAGAGGAGTTGGCTTCAAACTTGATGACTGAAGCATAAATGAAAAAATGACTGGTTAATGTAACATACTTAGTCGAGACTGTGATGGTTATGAGCAGTTTTTTTGGGGGGGTTAGAAGTTTTTTTACATGGCACAGTGGTTTTTTGGTTGCAATATGGGCTATGAGGGCATGCTCATTACCAGTGTTGTAGTCGAGACCACTTAAGACCTTCACAGGACCACACAAGACCATAAGGAAGACCATCACAAGACCTCCAGTCTGAATTCAAGTCACAAACTATTCAAATGAACTGCAACAAAAGCATTCCTTTATCATTGTTCACCCTGTTACTTGTGACTGATGTTTTGCCTGGTCTTGTGTCTGGTCTTGTGTCTGGTCTTGTGTCTGGTCTTGTGTCTGGTCTTGTGCATGGTCTTGTGTCTGGTCTTGTGTCTGGTCTTGTGTCTGGTCTTGTGATGGTCTTGTATCTGGTCT